CACACACACACACACACACACACACACACACACACACTTAATAAAACTTTGGATGCAAGTAACTATGGAGTGTCTACATGCCCTGAAATTGTTTTCTAAATGTGAAGAATATAGGAATTGTTTTCATCAGTTTTACAGCTATACCACGGCTGCCTGTAATACTCTGAGACCGGAACGGTAGTGGTTGATAACATGACCTACATGGATACGATCGGATACGACGACACACAACTGGCCAGGTTACACATTGTGATCAGTATGGGGGCTGGAAATCTTATTGTTGCCCTGAATCTCGAAGCGAAGCGGGTAAAGATTGTCGGTACTCCAACAACATTTCTTTCAACGGTTGTTAATATTTGGTTCACCCGTACTTGGGTTTTGCTTCGAGGATTGTGTATTGATAACATGCAAATTACAGTTAATCATTATATTCAACCATCTATAACGGTCTTCATGCAGTTTAAAGAGGATTCATACAAGATAACGATTGTTTTCCATTGTTTGTTTCTTGTCGCATTGAGCACTGTTCCAGCTATATATAAATAATCGAGTCTGGACCAGACAATCCAGTGATTGATTTTATAGACAACAATTCACAGCGCCGGGGAACGATGACACGCAACCAACGAAGTCACCGAGCCTGATCTTCCGGTCAGTTATATCGCTTCTCACAATCAGCAGTAGTTGGAATTTGGGGGATTTTTTATCTACGTTATTCACAAGCCCCTGCTACAGTCTGGAGATCCGTGCCCAGGATAAACAGGAACCTACATCACATCTTTATCTATACAAAATAACTTCAAAAATAAGTCTTGTGATGTTTGATAAAATAAAAAAGGGCAGACACATCGCATCCATCCACCATTCTCACAGAAGAATGTATGCAAGTTTGTACCAGGCCAAGTACATGAGGATTACATCAATGGTTCTAAAAAAATGATACAGCATCCATTGTTGATAAAACTTGCTCGGAGTTCTGCGATTAAAATGAATACATTTTTCATTATTGTAACGAGGGCGTAATTCTCGTTTGATATGGTTTAATTTAAGAGAAATATCCTTCACCTTGCATTTATACATGAAATATGTGGCAAATAATATAATGAAGTCAAATACTGTCAGTGTAAACAGTATTTTTCCAACCATGTAATATAAACTCTGGATCATGTATGATAAGCTCATATACATTTAGACATTTATCTTTCTACCAATCCATCAGGGATTTCCAAAATATTTTTACTTTTTTTCACATTCACAGAGCAAATCTACAATCATAAAGTACGTGATCTACACAACCAGTCGTCGGACTTTCAATTTTGTGGAAGCCTCGGTGGCTGAGCGGGTTAGATCACTGACTTTGTGTGTGTCCCGGACGGGACTCAACCCCCCAAAAGTACAATTATCTGTACTTTGCTTCGAAAGTGTTATCCCAGATATAACATTTGTTGACCGGTTTCTGAGTGGCATTGTGTGTTCATAAATGTACAATAGTTTCGGTTTCTAACATACAAAAAGTACACAGATCGTTCGATCGCATTTTAATTTTACAAAGAAATGAGTTGGTTTAAGGCCTGTGTGAGTGAGTGAGTATGGTTTTACGCCGCTTTTAGCAATATTCCAGCAACATGACGGCGGGGGACACCAGAAATGGGCTTCACACATTGTACCCATGTCGGGAATCGAACCCGGGTCTTCGGCGTGGCGAGCGAACGCTTTAACCACTAGGCTACCCGACCGCCGCCTTAAGGCCTGTGTGAATAACTCTGTATTGAAACCATCACAGCCTTGTGTCTCTAGTTGTTGAAAAGGCTTCAAATATATCTGTTCCCAGTCTAGAGTTTTATTCCATTTGTCTTGCGAATTTGGTGTACTTTCTTTGGACATCAGTAGAAAAAAATAAGCTTGGGAACCTTATTTAACACTTAAATATTTTGTTACATAATTATTGTCACCTAGTTGGCAGAAAATATTTCTTTTATTCCCACTGGTTTGACAAAGGTGTCAATCAAATCATGGATATTGATGACATACGATCCTGGATGAGCTTCAATTATCTCAAGCTCAATGAAGAGAAGACTGAGTTTTTAATCCTTGGTTCGCGACAGCAAGTCAGAAAGCTTCACCCTGACTCTGTATACCTTCATATTGGTGATACCACTGTGTACCCAACTGCCAGTGCCCGTAATCTGGGAATCACCTTTGATTCAACAATGACCATGGACACTCATATTTCACTAACCAGCAGAGCATGCTACCATAGCATCTATAACATCAGTAAAGTCCGCCATCTACTTGATCCTCCAACAGTTAAATTGTTGATGCAATGTGTTGTGACCTCCAAACTGGATTACTGCAATGCATTGTATGCTAATCTTCCCATGAAAGCCATATCAAAGCTACAACGCATTCAGAACTCTGCAGCTAGATGCATCTCTAAAGTTCCAAGATCCAATCACATCAGTCCTGTCCTCAAAGCACTACATTGGCTTCCAGTCTCCTTTCGTATAAACTATAAGATATGTATCATCACTCACGACTGCCTCAACAATAGCGACTATCCAGACTCATAATCTCAAAGATCTTATATCCCTCTACTCTCCAGAGCGTGTTCTCCGATCCTCTGGTGGAACTCTACTGTATCAGCCTCTGTCTACTTCTGCTATGTCTGACCGTGCCTTCTCCTTTTGCAGTCCACAGTTATGGAACTCTTTGCCTTTGGATCTGAGAAACTCTGCTTCTAAGGAAACGTTTAAGTCTCTCCTCAAAACCCACTTCTTCACTTCAGCTTTTCAATAGATCTCCTGATTGTTGGCATATGTACATAGACATTACATTTATCTTTGTCACAGCGCCAGTGACCAACTGTCGATGGATATTAGGCGCTTTACAAATCAATTATTATTATTTATATTAACAAGGAGATTATCTCGTCTTTGACGATGTTAAAGAAAGGTTTGGTATTGAGACTTCCTTTTTGCAGTACTCTTGAGTTATACAAGGTATGAAAAAATACTTGAAGTCTTTAGCTATTTCAAAAGTTGAATAACGACCAGCAATAGTTGCTGGGGACCAATTGTCACCAACATTCCCCACGGGCGATCTCGCCTGCTCTCTTAATGGTTTAGCGGAGTGAATGGTGTAGCTTTGGCTTCAACTCACATTTGGCCACATTCATATATATCACACAGATAACGTTACAAGGGGAACTACGCCCATATTTAGTCTTGACCAAGACATTGTGATTAGTGTGTGAAACTGATTCCCTTAACCCTCCACTTGAATGAAACTTGTGGCACTGCCAATTAACCCGAATCCAGTTTCTCTTTATGTATCGGGACATTTATAAATGAGTGAGTACGGTTTTACGCCGCTTTCATCAATATTCTAGCAATATCAAGGCGGGGGACACCAGAAATGGGCTTCACACATTGTGCGCATGTGGGGAATCGAACCCGCTTTTACCACTAGGCTACCCCACCGCCCAAAAATCCAACGGTGACGCACATCGATGACGTCACCGGCAGAGGACACCGGTGGCCCAGTCGCCTGAGGCGCAGCGATTCGCTGTGCAGAGTTGCGTCCCTTGGGCACGCCATAAACCTATGATCGTCTGTTCGAATCCCGGTTCGACCCGATCATGTTTCTGGTTTGCAGGCACCATGTCTGTGCTCGTGGGGTTTACCAAAGTGATAAAGGTCCAAGACCTGCATCATTTTTTACGGACTTTCGTCCCAGATTAATGTGACAGGCCCAGATATAACTGGAATACTGTTGAAAGCGGCTGGTATCATTGGTTCTAAATGTTAACAATAATGCATGCAATTCGGTACTTACGGTAATCTCAAACACTGTATGACAGATATAACCAGGCACACTCTGTCGTAAATATCGCTCCAGAAACTTATTTTATATATAGAGCGGGGTGTTAATTTGCAAACGGTTACAATAAAAGTAAGTGAAATATCAAAATATGGAAAAACAGACTCCATGTCCCTTATGGGCCATCGTACAAAACGGCCATAATTTTGGTGATACTCTGCCGGTCTAAAACATAACCTGCTTCAATATTTCCGGTATTATCGGTTTATTCAAATCTGGCGGAATGTACAAGAATTTCTAATGACGATCTCGTACATGGAGTGCTGTTCAAGAAACAGGATAAAAGCACGAGACGTCGATGTTAGTGTTTACAATCTCTTGCTAAGCCATGGCTGCCATTGCTGTTCGGTAGCGATCACGTGCTGGTGGGTTTTCCGTCTTTTCCCGGAACTCCGCTTCCCACGTGGGTATCTCCGAGAACAGCCGAAGCATCTTGATGTATTCCTGAAGGATAAAGCACCAAAAAGATAAAGTTCCCCAAAACTGACACACCGACCAAACATGTCGCCTAGCACAAAGAGCTGTCAGATGCCCCTCCCCCCACACTGACACACCCACACACTATTTCTTTCATTACAAAACAGTGACACATGCCCACCACCCTCACTGACACGCCCACCACCATGTCGTCCATCAAAAAGAACTGCCAGATGCCCCCCCCCCCCCCCCCTCCCCCCCTCCTCACTGACACGCCCACCCACCTTGTCATCCAGCACAAAGAACTTCCAGATGCCTCTCCCCCTCACTGGCACGCCCACCCACCTTGTCGTCAAGCACAAAGAACTTCCAGATGCCTCTCCCCCTCACTGACACGCCCACCCACCTTGTCGTCTATCAAAAAGAACTACCAGATGCCCTCCCCCTAACTGACACGCCCACCCACCTTGTCGTCAAGCACAAAGAACTTCCAGATGACCCCCCCCCCCCCCCCCCCCCCCCCCCGGGCACGCCCTTCCACCTTGTCCTATAGCACAAAGAACTTGCAGATGCCCCTCCCCCCAACACTGATACACCCACCTACTATTTCGTTCAGCACAAAGCGGTGCCAGATGCCCCTCCGCACACTCACAGAACCACCCACCTTATCGTCCAGCACAAAGCAGATGCCCCTCCACACACTCACACAACCACCCACCTTATCGTCCCGCACAAAGCAGATGTCCCTCCGCACACTCACAGAACCACCCACCGTATCGTTCAGCACAAAGCGGTGCCAGATGCCCCTCCGCACACTCACAGAACCACCCACCGTATCGTCCAGCACAAAGCAGATGCCCCTCCGCACAACCACCCACCTTATCGTCCAGCACTAAGCGGTGCCAGATACCCCTCCGCACACTCACACACCCACCCACCTTATCGTCCAGCACAAAGCAGATGACCCTCTGCACACTCACACACCCACCCACCTTATCGTCCAGCACAAACCGGTGCCAGATGACCCTCCGCACACTCACACAACCACCCACCTTATCGTCCAGCACAAAGCAGATGCCCCTCTGCACACTCACACAACCACGCACCTTATCGTCCAGCACAAAGCAGATGCCCCTCCGCACACTCACACAACCACGCACCTTATCGTCCAGCACAAAGCGGTGCCAGATGCCGGGTGGAAGGTCCAGTAGATCTCCCTTCTGCACGTGGATGCGCACCCACAGGTCATCGATGGAGCGGACCTCAAAGAAGCCTGACCCAGCCACGATCAGGCGAATCTCGGGGTCCTCGTGTAAGTGCTCATCATAGAACACCTTCATCTGTTTGAGAGAGTGAGTAAGTGAGTCTGGTTAATCGCGGCTTTGAGCAGCAATTCTTTCATATCAGCTTGATGTGAGAAGAGAGCCCTAAGTGACACGGGTCTTAGACGTTTACGACTTTGGGGAAACCAACGAGGACGGATATCATGCTGAGAACCTGGAAGACCGGGATTCTCTTAATGATGATAATGTAATAATTTCCTGATCATCTTTGATACCTTTAACTGCAATGGCGTTTTCATTGGAACATCTTGGGGTAAACATGATGTTCAGGGTGGCCCCCTGTAGGTGTGCCAGAGTTCTATGACCTGAGTATGGGTCTTGTTATGTCAGCACCGAACCTGTACTCGTGGGTTTCACCAAACTGGTATCCCTTCAGGCCTCCCTCCCACATAAAGCTGACACACCGTAATATAATTTAAATAATGTAGGCGGCGGCGGCGGCGGCGGCGTTAAACCAAACTCACTCACTCGAGATATTACAATTAGTGCAATACTGACTGTATGATTGGGATCATCATGAACAGAATTGACCAACATCATGAAACTCGAGGTATCAGGCAAAGTGTTTAGTTAGTGTTTAGACTGCAATATTGCCGCAGTAAGATAGCCCCTTTAAGTGAAACTGTTTGGGACCAGTGCAGTTAATCTGGTGTGAAAACGTTTGGCACTCAGTTCCGGGATAAGGTGTTATTTAATTCGTGTGATTATATTTTTCATCACAAAATACATTTTTAAAAATAACAAGAATAAATTTATATAAGAAGTTGATATTTTGAAGGGGATGTTTGGCTGCTTCCAGGGTATTTATCACAATAACAAGATCATAATGCAATGCAACTGAATCATGACCAACATGTCGTTTCTCACAAATAATTTCAGCATCTACATCGAATATCAGACTTGCGTATTCACGGGTAATAGAACTGACACGATACTCAAGTTAGTCATCCAATCAAATTACATGGTTTTTCATGATTGTGGGGGGCGGTCGGGTGAGTTAAAGTGGTTAAAGCGTTAGCTCGTCACGCCGAAGACCCGGGCTCGATTCCCGACATGGGTACAATGTGTGAAGCCCTTTCTGGTGTCCCCCGCCGCGATATTGCTTGAATATTGCTAAAAGCGGCGTAAAACCTCACTCACTCACTCGTGATTGTGGCATGGGGCGACGTCACTTATACTCGACTCGCTTTGATGCAGACCGTCTCAAATACTAATAAAAACTAATAAATACTCGTGTATTCCAAGACAAGACTTAAACCCGCTACACCGAAGCGCCGTTAAATGAAATTACCCGGATGTTCTTGTTTTCTTGTTTTACCCATCGTCACGAATGCTCATCAAACAATCAACATGTTTAACCATATTCACCTTTACATTGTTATCTCTAAATATAACACGGGTGCCACTGACAACTTCTTGTTATTCGGCATGGTGAAACAGTTGTGAGTGTCATTTTGGTACATTTTTTATACAACCTATACCCATAAACAAAATACGGAGAATATAATATCAAGGAGGGATCCTGTCACAAAAGTTTGTTTGTTTGTTTGTTTGTTGTTTAACATCGCACTCAGCAATATTCCAGCTGTATGACGACGGTATGTAAATAAACGAGTCGATTGATATCATGAGCATCCATCAACGCAATAGGGATGTGATTACATGCATCAACCAAGTCAGAGAGCCTGACAACCCGATCCAGTTTGTCGCCTTTTACGACAAGTATCGTCGCCTTTTACCATGTGTACGACAAGCATGGGTTGCTGAAGGCATATCCTAACCAGGGGCCTCATCATGGGTGACCAAAGTATGTACTTATCATGATACGCGCATTCTGATTGGTTTGTCGTGTTTCGCACAGAACATTGGACAAGGGAAGGATGTTACGGAAAGGTAACAGGTCTATACTCACCATATTATCGTAATCCTTCAATACGTCACGATGCATCTCCATGTAGTCATGGAACTTGTACTTCCGCTCAGACGGCAATCGCTGTAGAGCCTCACTATCGTTGCACACGGAATCTGGGATCTGGAGGGGGATTCTTCTGGTTAATGTATGTTATACATCATGTAGGACTCAAGGGGGGACGAGTGGCCCAGACGTCTAACGCACCGCAATTCGCTGTGCAGGGTTGCGTCCCTTTTACATCACAGGAACCTGTGATCGCGGGTTCCAATCCCGTTTCGGTCCGGTTATGTTTACATACCCCTGCTCGTGAAAGACGTCTAAGACCTACATTAATTCGGGCCTTTCTCCCACGTTATCCTGACACGCCATGACATATCTGGAATACTGTTCAAAGCGGCGTTTAACCCACTCACTCACTCTTATAATTCACCACATCTTTTTCTTTGTTGAGGAATCTAACGTTCTCGCTTTACAGTACAGAAAAGTGTGATGCTTTGGAATAAGATGTTGGTGTCTTCATTTAAAAAAAACAAACGCCAGAGGAATAGCTCTGTAGCTCACCTTCCTCAAAGGGTGACGAATATGACGAATATGACTCGTTCAATATTGACGTATTTTGTAAGAAATATATTTTTGAATAGCCCAGACATAATACAAATGTTACAAGTATTCAAACCATATGGACCTTTCGGGGCAAATAAACATACCCTCTCTCTTGGACTATTCAGCTATAGTGAGAGGCGGTCGGGTAGCCTGGTGGTAGAAGCGTTCGCTCGTCACGCCGAAGACCCGGGTTCGATTCCCGACATGGGTACAATGTGTGAAGCCCATTTCTGGTGTCCCCCGCCGTGATATTGTCGGAATATTGCTAAAAGCGGCGTAAAACCATACTCACTTACTATCTATAGTGACCCGGTAAGAATGCGTCCCCATGGAATGGATCGAGGTCTACCACATACGTTTGATTGTGTCTCGGCCTGGGCAGACATAATGGGACGTTGTTCATATCATCAATCACTGGTTTGCTCAATTATTTACAGGCCGCTGTTTTGTTGCTTAATTATTACTGGGGCAGTTGGGTAGTCTAGTGGTTAAAGCGTTCGCTCGTGACGCCGAAGACCCGGTTCGATTCCCCACGTGGGTACAATGTGTGAAGCCCATTTCTGGTGTGTCCTGCCGTGATTTGGCTTAAATATTGCTAACACAGGCGTAAAACCATACTCACTCACACTAATTATTGCTGGCTGCGGCGTAAAACAACAACCATACAAGTACAAAGTTCATTTAACTTGTGTGTGATATACATGCATCAGTTATAGTGGCAGTACACACGACAGCTGTGTCCAAACTGACCTTCTCATACTTGACACCTGTCTTCTTGTACAGCTCGTCTATGCCCAGATATTGCGGGGGGTCTAGTTTGTGGGGGGCTCGGAGATTGTTTTCGCTGATGTCTCGGTACCACGCACAGGACGTCATTATCTGAAACACCACAATAGTCGGATATGTGACATAATAGTCGGGTATAATTTTGAGGATCTCAGGGGTACGGCGGAACGATATAGAATGCAAAGACATGGGGATCTCAGGGGTACGGTTGAAGTATATAGAACATAAAGATCTAGGGATCTCAGGGGTACAGTTGAAGTATAAAGATCTAGGGATCTCAGGTGTACGGTGGAAGTATATAGAACATAAAGATCTAGGGATCTCAGGGGTACAGTTGAAGTATAAAGATCTAGGGATCTCAGGGGTACGGTGGAAGTATATAGAACATAAAGATCTAGGGATCTCAGGGGTACAGTTGAAGTATAAAGATCTAGGGATCTCAGGTGTACGGTGGAAGTATAAAGATCTAGGGATCTCAGGGGTACAGTTGAAGCATAAAGATCTAGTGATCTCAGGGGTACGGTGAAAGTATAAAGAACATAAAGATCTAGGGATCTCAGGGGTACAGTGGAAGTATAAAGATCTAGGGATCTCAGGGGTACAGTTGAAGTATAAAGATCTAGGGATCTCAGGTGTACGGTGGAAGTATAAAGAACATAAAGATCTAGGGATCTCAGGGGTACAGTGGAAGTATAAAGATCTAGGGATCTCAGGGGTACAGTTGAAGTATAAAGATCTAGGGATCTCAGGTGTACGGTGGAAGTATAAAGACATAAAGATCTAGGGATCTCAGGGGTACAGTGGAAGTATAAAGATCTAGGGATCTCAGGGGTACAGTTGAAGTATAAAGATCTAGGGATCTCAGGGGTACGGTGGAAGTATAAAGAACATAAAGATCTAGGGATCTCAGGGGTACAGTTGAAGTATAAAGATCTAGGGATCTCAGGGGTACAGTTGAAGTATAAAGATCTAGGGATCTCAGGGGTACGGTGAAAGTATATAGAACATAAAGATCTAGGGATCTCAGGGGTACAGTTGAAGTATAAAGATCTAGGGATCTCAGGGGTACAGTTGAAGTATAAAGATCTAGGGATCTCAGGGGTACAGTTGAAGTATAAAGATCTAGGGATCTCAGGTGTACGGTGGAAGTATATAGAACATAAAGATCTAGGGATCTCAGGGGTACGGTTGAAGTATAAAGATCTAGGGATCTCAGGGGTACGGTTGAAGTATAAAGATCTAGGGATCAACGGGGTACAGTTGAAGTATAAAGATCTAGGGATCTCAGGTGTACAGTGGAAGTATATAGAACATAAAGATCTAGGGATCTCAGGGGTACAGTGGAAGTATAAAGATCTAGGGATCTCAGGGGTACAGTTGAAGTATAAAGATCTAGGGATCTCAGGGGTACGGTGGAAGTATATAGAACATAAAGATCTAGGGATCTCAGGGGTACAGTTGAAGTATAAAGATCTAGGGATCTCAGGGGTACAGTTGAAGTATAAAGATCTAGGGATCTCAGGTGTACGGTGGAAGTATATAGAACATAAAGATCTAGGGATCTCAGCGGTACAGTGGAAGTATAAAGATCTAGGGATCTCAGGTGTACGGTGGAAGTATAAAGATCTAGGGATCTCAGGGGTACAGTTGAAGCATAAAGATCTAGGGATCTCAGGGGTACAGTGGAAGTATAAAGATCTAGGGATCTCAGGGGTACAGTGGAAGTATAAAGATCTAGGGATCTCAGGGGTACGGTGAAAGTATAAAGAACATAAAGATCTAGGGATCTCAGGGGTACAGTGGAAGTATAAAGATCTAGGGATCTCAGGTGTACGGTGAAAGTATAAAGAACATAAAGATCTAGGGATCTCAGGGGTACAGTGAAAGTATAAAGATCTAGGGATCTCAGGGGTACGGTGGAAGTATAAAGATCTAGGGATCTCAGGGGTACAGTTGAAGTATAAAGATCTAGGGATCTCAGGGGTACAGTGGAAGTATAAAGATCTAGGGATCTCAGGGGTACGGTGAAAGTATAAAGAACATAAAGATCTAGGGATCTCAGGGGTACAGTGGAAGTATAAAGATCTAGGGATCTCAGGGGTACAGTGGAAGTATAAAGATCTAGGGATCTCAGGGGTACGGTGGAAATATAAAGATCATAAAGAACTTGGGATCTCAGGGGTACAGTGGAAGTATAAAGATCTAGAGATCTCTGGGGTACGGTGGAAGTATAAAGATCTAGGGATCTCAGGGGTAGAGTGGAAGTATCAAGATCTAGGGATCTCAGCGGTACGGTGGAAGTATAAAGAATGTAAAGATCTAGGGATCTCAGGGGTACGGTTGAAGTATATAGAACATGAAGGCCTAGGGATCTCAGGGGTACGCCGGAAATATAAAGAGCATAAAGAACTTGGGATATCAGGGGTACAGTGGGAGTATAAAGATCTAGGGATCTCAGGGGTACAGTTGAAGTATAACGATCTTGAGATCTCAGGGGTACAGTTGAAGTATAAAGATCTAGGGATCTCAGGGGTACAGTGGAAGTATAAAGATCTAGGGATCTCAGGGGTACAGTTGAAGTATAACGATCTAGGGATCTCAGGGGTACGGTGAAAGTATAAAGATCTAGGGATCTCTGGGGTACGGTGGAAGTATAAATATCTAGGGATCTCAGGGGTACAGTGGAAGTATAAAAAATCTAGGGATCTCAGGGGTACGGTGGAAGTATAAAGAATATAAAGATCTAGGGATTTCATGGGTACGGTTGAAGTATATAGAACATGTAGGCCTAGGGATCTCAGGGGTACGCCGGAAATATAAAGATCATAAAGAACTTGGGTTCTCAGGGGTATGATGGATGTATAAAGAACAAAGATCTAGGGATCTCAGGGTTACGGTGGAAGTATAAAGATCTAGGGATCTCAGGGGTGCGGTGGAAGTAGAAAGAACATTAAGGCCTAGGGATCTCAGGGATACAATATGGAAGTATAAAGTTCATAAAGATCTAGGGATCTCAGGGGTACGGTGGAAGTATAAAGACCTAGGGATCTCAGGGGTACGGTGGAAGTATAAAGATCTAGGGATCTCAGGGGTACGGTGGAAGTATGAAGAACATAAATTCCTAGGGGTCTCAGGGAAACGGTTGAAGTACATAGAGCATAAAGGCCTAGGGATCTCAGGGGTACGGTTGAAGCATATAGAACATAAAGACCTAGGGATCTCAGGGGTACGGTGGAAGTATAAAGACCTAGGGATCTCAGGGATATGGTGGAAGTATAGAGACCTTGGGATCTCAGGGGTACAATGGAAGTATAAAGATCTAGGGATCTCTGGGGTACGGTGGAAGTATAAAGATCTGGGGATCTCAGGGGTATGGTGTAAGTATAAAGAACATAAAGATCTAGGAATGTTATTGGTAGATAGAACATGGGTTCTTTGGGGCAGACAATATATTTAATGTTGTAGGTGTTTTAAGTATATAAAACAAAGACCTTGGGATCTCAGGGGTACGGTGGAAGTAAATAGTTAAAAAAGGCCTAGGGATCTCAGGGCTGCGGTGGAAGTATATCGAACATAAAGACCTAGGGATATCAGGGGTATGATGGATGTATAGAAACCAAGGGATCTCAGGGGTACGGTGGAATCATAAAGAACATAAAGACCTTGGGATCTCATGGGTACGGTGGAAGTATAAAGAACATAAAGATCTGGAGACCTTCGGGATGCGGTGGAAATAGAAACTATTGCCCTTGGAATCTCAGGGGTACGGTGGAAGTATAAAGAACATAAAGATCTGGAGACCTTAGGGATACGGTGGAAGTAGATAGAACTATTGGCCTTGGAATCTCAGGGGTACGGTGGAAGTAAAAGAACATAAAGACCTAGGGATCTCAGGGGTATGATGGATGTATAGAAACCAAGGGATCTCAGGGGTACGGTGGAATCATAAAGAACATAGGATCTCAGGGGTACGGTTGAAGTGTAAAAGAAGAACATAAAGATCTGGAGACCTTAGGGATACGGTGGATGTAGATAGAACTATTGGCCTTGGAATCTCAGGGATACGGTGGAAGTAAAAGAACATAAAGACCTTAGGATCTCATGGGTACGGTGGAAGTATAGAGAACAAAAAGATCTGGAGACCTTAGGGATGCGGTGGATGTAGATAGAACTATTGGCCTTGGAATCTCAGGGGTACGGTGGAAGTATAAAGAACATAAAGACCTTGGGATCTCATGGGTACGGTGGAAGTATAAAGAACATAAAGATCTGGAGACATTCGGGATGCGGTGGAAATAGAAACTATTGCCCTTGGAATCTCAGGGGTACGGTGGAAGTATAAAGAACATAAAGATCTGGAGACCTTAGGGATACGGTGGAAGTAGATAGAACTATTGGCCTTGGAATCTCAGGGGTACGGTGGAAGTAAAAGAACATAAAGACCTAGGGATCTCAGGGGTATGATGGATGTATAGAAACCAAGGGATCTCAGGGGTACGGTGGAATCATAAAGAACAAAGGATCTCAGGGGTACGGTGGAAGTGGAAAAGAAGAACATAAAGATCTGGAGACCTTAGGGATACGGTGGATGTAGATAGAACTATTGGCCTTGGAATCTCAGGGATACGGTGGAAGTAAAAGAACATAAAGATCTTAGGATCTCATGGGTACGGTGGAAGTATAGAGAACAAAAAGATCTGGAGACCTTAGGGATGCGGTGGATGTAGATAGAACTATTGGCCTTGGAATCTCAGGGGTACGGTGGAAGTATAAAGAACATAAAGACCTTGGGATCTCATGGGTACGGTAGAAGTATAAAGAACATAAAGATCTGGAGACCTTAGGGATACGGTGGAAGTAGATAGAACTATTGGCCTTGGAATCTCAGGGGTACGGTGGAAGTAAAAGAACATAAAGACCTAGGGATCTCAGGGGTATGATGGATGTATAGAAACCAAGGGATCTCAGGGGTACGGTGGAATCATAAAGAACATAGGATCTCAGGGGTACGGTGGAAGTGTAAAAGAAGAACAAAAAGATCTGGAGACCTTAGGGATGCGGTGGATGTAGATAGAACTATTGGCCTTGGAATCTCAGGGGTACGGTGGAAGTATAAAGAACATAAAGACCTTAGGATCTCATGGGTACGGTGGAAGTATAAAGAACATAAAGATCTGGAGACCTTAGGGATACGGTGGATGTAGATAGAACTATTGGCCTTGGAATCTCAGGGGTACGGTGGAAGTAAAAGAACATAAAGACCTTAGGATCTCATGGGTACGGTGGAAGTATAAAGAACATAAAGATCTGGAGACCTTAGGGATACGGTGGATGTAGATAGAACTATTGGCCTTGAAATCTCAGGGGTACGGTGGAAGTATAAAGAACATAAAGATCTGGAGACCTTAGGGATACGGTGGATGTAGATAGAACTATTGGCCTTGGAATCTCAGGGGTACGGTGGAAGTAAAAGAACATAAAGACCTTAGGATCTCATGGGTACGGTGGAAGTATAAAGAACATAAAGATCTGGAGACCTTAGGGATACGGTGGATGTAGATAGAACTATTGGCCTTGAAATCTCAGGGGTACGGTGGAAGTATAAAGAACATAAAGATCTGGAGACCTTAGGGATACGGTGGATGTAGATAGAACTATTGGCCTTGGAATCTCAGGGGTACGGTGGAAGTAAAAGAACATAAAGACCTTAGGATCTCATGGGTACGGTGGAAGTATAAAGAACATAAAGATCTGGAGACCTTAGGGATACGGTGGATGTAGATAGAACTATTGGCCTTGGAATCTCAGGGGTACGGTGGAAGTAAAAGAACATAAAGACCTTAGGATCTCATGGGTACGGTGGAAGTATAAAGAACAAAAAGATCTGGAGACCTTAGGGATACGGTGGATGTAGATAGAACTATTGGCCTTGGAATCTCACGGGTACGGTGGAAGTATAAAGAGCATAAAGACCTAGGGATCTTAGGGGTATGATGGATGTATAGAAACCAAGGGATCGGAGTTTCGCCAAAGTTGCCCCGGAGCTATGGAATAGGCTGCCATTGGATATCAGGAACATTGACAGTCCTACTTTGTTTCGATCAAGACTCAAAACCTATCTTTTCACCAAATCTTTCTTGGAGTAGTGAGGCTTTGTGTTTTCCTAGCTGTGTAATGTAGACTCAAATGAAGCGCTTTTGAGCATTTCTTCGAACTGGATACCAGCACTATGTAAATCTGTAGTTATTATTATTATATTATTATCTCAGGGGTACGGTGGAAGTATATAGAACATAAAGATCTGGAGACCTTAGGCATACGGTGGAAGTAGATAGAACGTGGGTTCTTTGGGGCAGACAATATATTTTCCGCGACGCATTCACTGTATAAAGCACCAACAATGGAAATCTCGACAACACCCACCCTTTAAATTTAGTCAGAGCTAGGATGAGTTCCTTATACACAAAACAGAAATTAGCGTGAAATCAGTGTCTACTCTGTGAGTATATTCTAACACCGCATGTAGCAATACAGCAATATAACGGCGGGTCTTTGAATGGCATTTAGAAGGGTTTGTTTGTCTCCTTGTTGTTTAACGCCGCACTCAGCAATATTTCAGCCACATGACGGCGGTCTGTAAATAATCGAGTCTGGACCAGACATCATGAGCACCAATCCACGCAATTGGGGTACGATGGCATGCATCAACCAAGTCAGCGAGCCTGACCCACCTCATCCCGTTCGTCGCCTCTTACGACAAGCATAGTCGCCTTTAAGGGAACGCATGGGTTGCTGAAGACCTATTCTACCCCGGATCTTCACGGGTAGCATTTAGAAGTGATACACATAACAAAGAGAATATATGGATATCAACTTCTTTATTATGAGAAACACAACGTTTCCGAGGAGATGCTCTTTCACTTCTGAATAAGGAGTAAGCATGTACTCCGGAAGTTGACATACATAAATTCTCTCTCTTTATCAAGGCAGGATTTACCAGAAATGGGCTTAGCGTGAAATCAAATCATAGTACAAATATTATGTTCCAATAAGACCATTTCTACTAATTATAGCATGATGGAATTGAAAGAAGGGTTTGGAAGTAGATATATGGCGTTTCTTTGTCGTGGATATAACGTTAAGATACCAACATGCCTACCTTAACCTGAGAAAGTCGATACGAACTGCGTAGCGTAGGCACAGGGTGACACTGATGGTGGTCGTGCGGGTAGATTAAACATTTATATTGAGGTACAACTGCAGTCGTCACTGATACGCTGCAATGTAGTTGAAGGTCGTCATTATCTCATGGACGTGAAGGACACACGTATCGGCTGTGTGATGGCGTGTTTTGTCAGTGTTTTTGTGTGGAAGTGGCAGTGTTGCCTAGTTTCTGCAGACCACGGGCGTGACGCTGCATGGCCATAATATGGTATAGAGCCAATCGGGAGTACACAGATAGTGCTGGCCTTAACTTGATTTTGTTTATGTTCGTTCCTCGACATTGTGAACAGCACAGTCACGGTGACTTCGTAATCATTGGGATCAAATTACGACTGTATTTCTGAATCACTTTATCGCTTTAAATTGCGAATTTAAGCAAAGTAAAATCATTGTTACAAACTGAAAGATATTTAACTTGTTTAAAAGATAAAAGTTTAATCAGAGCTTATTGTAAAATTAGAATTTCATTGCACAGTTTTAATGTAAATGTATGTCGCAGGTCCAAAGACGGTGATATTGTGAACTCTATTTGTACAAACTGTTCATCCGGAGAAGTAGAGGATGAATACCATGTCTCACTTATATGTGAAACACATTCCAGTGTAAGGTATAAATTTCTCCCCATGTTGCAAGGTATTTTTAAAGACCGTCAGTTAATGATATATGTTCTAAACTCTGAAAATCCTGATATGATCCATGTTGTTTCTGTATTCTTAAAACATGTCTCTATAATGAGGAATGTGTAACTTGATTTAAAATCTAATCATGTACATCACGTGACAAATGTTAATATCCAATCTGCATTGTGCCATGGGCCTTGATGCCTTAATTACTGTATAAACTGTCTGTCTGTATGTAAATTACGACTGTCTGAGACTATTTTGCTAAACTACATCTCAAGCCTATGTGTGAACGTATCATCATTCAATACGTCAACGCCTGTAAATTGGCCGCACACTTACACCGCACGAAAGAACAGCATTTTCCAAAGTTCTTAATGCTATGTAATGAACGCGTGATCCGATCCATCTGACAAAAACTTGAAATATACGCAACGTGTAGACGTCAAATTTGCACGGGTCTTTAGCTTAACTAAACTGTAATTGACTATGCATTTATTTTACAAAAGTGTGTAAAAATAATTATTGTTTTCTGTGTTTTCATGTTTGCTTTCATGGTAAATTCTATGCATGTATGACAAGGAGTGAGTTTTTATAACTTTCGCAAAGGTAAGTCTTATTTGCAGAGTGCAGCCATTGAAGATAGGGTCCCAGACAGTGTGTCATGTAATAAGGCAGTGATTGTAGTCACAAAACTTGACTCTAACTATTTTGTCAGCTAATAATTAGACAACTTATTTTACCCCAGACATTAGTAAAACATGTAAAACTGACAATATTCAGAGAGGTGTTGCTTTTATCCATGTGTTTGGGTCGGAATATATTATCAATGAGTGAGTGAGTGAGTGAGTATGGTTTTTACGCCGCTTTTAGCAATATTCTAGTTATATAACGGCAGGGGACACCAGAAATGGATTTCACACATTGTACCCATGTCGGAATCGAACCCGGGTCTTCGGCGTGACGAGCGAACGCTTTAACCAAAAGGCTACCCGACCGCCTCTTATTATCAATGAAAATATGTGATTGATCACCAATACATATTAATGATTTCACAAATCGATTGGTATTTCTCCTCTGATTAATGCTTGATTTCATTGCCCTGTGATAAAATTGCTTCAATACTATTCGTAGTTGTGATAGAACAGGCTGACGTCGCATGGCAGGAGTACTGTTGTGCTTCTTCAGACAATGATAAATACTTACCTTTTTTATGCAAATTGTATAAATGGCTGGTGCTACCGGTAGGGCAGGACAACCCTACCCTTTTCGCGAAGACCTGGTGTCATCTCTGATTTTCAGTGATCCATTCATATCATTTCCACACCTATTTGCCCTTTACGCCAAGTGGAATCTGTTTCGGGAGAAAATCTGGGATGGTTCTTCTCTTGCACTGACAGTTTATATTTACGAGAGGGGCGGTCGGGTAGCTTAGTGGTTAAAGCGTTCGCTCGTCACGCCGAAGACCCGGGTTCGATTCCCGACATGGGTACAATGTGTGAAGACCATTTCTGGTGTCCCCCGCCGTGATATTGCTGGAATATTGCTGTAAGCGGCGTAAAACCATACTCACTCACTCACTCACTTATATTTACGAGAATAGATCTGTTGTAAACTATGTTCTCCCATCGACTCGCGGAATAGAGGGGGATTAGGTCGGGGAAGGTGAAATGCAACGATTAACAACGTGGGGGTTGGGGTTTCGGGCTGAAAGGTTCTGAGCCTAACTATGATGGACTGTGTTAATAAAGTTGGAAATGTTTCAACATCGTCTCACCCGAGGTCAACACACTTCTGCCAACGATGCTGAAGTGCCTTGATCCTACTGGTTTAGAAGGATTCCTCTTGGTGTATAAAGTCCTTCACAGCAGCAACGACGTCATTATTTGTATAATACTTGCCTGACTGTTCTTTTTCAAATTGCGGAATAGGTGCAAAATCTGAGGGTGCCAGATTTGGTGAATATGGGCCATAACAAAGTGAACTAGTCAATGCAGTACAGTGTTTGAGTAGTTCATTGCAAGTGTATTTGGTCTGTTGATGCCGTTTGTATATTAGTGACAGACAGTTGAACGTGACAGGGGTCCAAATGGACACAGAAATGGAAAAGAACGAGTACTGAGCAGTCAAGTTATATATATATTTTAGAGAAAAGTACTCCCCAAGAAATTCATGACCGCATGTCACAAGTGTATGGGGATAGATACCCTAGCTATTCCACTGTTAAACCAACAATTGTGAAAGTGTTTTTAACTTTATTTTTCAACTTAATCTCCCTGCGTTTCAATACACTTCTCATATCGGTAGTGAAGCTTTTCAATCCCCAAAGGAAGTTTGTCATCGTTGTGGCCATAGAGCTTGCCAGGAAGCTGTTCTTTCAGTTTAGGAAACAGGTGGAAATCACTTGGTGCCAGGTCTGGTGAGTATGGAGGGTGAGGAAGCTCTTCGAATCCACATTGTCGCACAGTAGCCTTTGCAAGTCGAGAGATGTGAGAAGTCATGAAAAAGTAGAACTCCCGAAGTCGGCAATCCAGGCCGCTTTTCTTTGATAGAATCTCTCAGGCTATGAATCAAATCGGGATAGTGGGCACCGGTAATCTTTGGACTTTCTAATTATCAACAAGGATAACACCCTTTGCTTCCCAGAATACAGTGGCCATAACTTTCTTCACTGATCTGGAAGATTTGAATTTTTTGGTGCCGGAGAAATGGAATGGTGTCATTCCATGGATTGACGTTATGACTCGGGATCATAGTCGTGGTCCAATGTTTCAACATCCGTTACTAATCTCTTCTTAATTTTGACGAAATCCTTAATTAGCTCTAAATTTTCTCTGGCAATGTGTTCTTTTTTCTTTAAGATCAGAATTTAGAAACTTTGTCACCCAACGAAAAATAGTTTAACTGGTTCCATGGCTTAGACCTGTGTCTTCCTCAAGTTCAGCAATGGTAATACGCATCTGACAGCATAAGTCTTTCTATCTCCTTGATTGAATCTTCATTGATAGAAGTTGAGGGACGTCCAGATCTAGGGTCATCAAGGTTTGTTCCCTGGCCAACATTTAACAGTGAAATAGCCATACATTTGTGACATGCGGTCATGAATTTCTTAGGGAGTACTACGCTCCCACAATCAGAGGTCTCTGGCGTTCTCAAGGATTGCAGCTCTGCACAGTGAAATCTAAGAGGACTTGGCCATCAGTATGCTGGTGGAGAGCCTGCATACTGCCATAAAAACAACTGACAACACTGATCTTCATTGTAATATATTTTAATTCATATTTTCTAAATGTCAATAGCATTGTATGATAAAATAGTATCAAATATACAACCATGACAATCCTTCTATGAGCATGTACAGTTACACCCTAACATGCAGACAGACTAAAGCTCAGATACAGAAGGAAGAGGAGCAGCAAACCTGGCTGGTCCCCAAGGAGAAACAAGGGGACAGGAGACACAGCCTAGATATAGTTTAACACGGTCAATTGTTCTCCCAAGTGCAGCTTTCAAGAACTGAAGCAATCAGAATTATTGTTAATTACTTTATATTAGTTCTGTCTGTCTACAAATGGCTAAATGTTTGGCCATAAATAGGTCAGACAAAATGGTTAAACTTGGTTTTCTCAGAAATGTGGACTTACTGTGAACTGCAGTATATTAGATTATGTGTCAATGACTATCATACAGACTGTCTTAGTGGCAGGTTGCTCCATGCAAGAATTGGCCAATTGAAGGGAGACAACTCTCTGTATATTCGTTTTATTTAAATAATAATGAAACCTTCCTTATCATGCTTGATTTGTGTCGGTCAAAAATTTGATGTTCACGTTGAGCACGTAGTTATTGTTCCTTAGTAGAGATCACAGAGAAACATGTTGTTATTCCGCACTTTCTCTTTATCAGCATCAGCCATACAAGTGTTATTGCTTGCTTCCTCACTTTAACATTATGCATCATGCTTGTAATAGGACTTGTGACATCATCTTACATTAAATTTCTTTTTTTTTTATTTCATTGAACATTCTAAAATTTATCAATCAATATACTTTCATTAATTTGAATAATCATCAGAATATTTGAATTCACTGCCATTCATTTTTTAACAATCATTATTCAGGTTTCTCTCTGTGAAATGAAAACTTTACAAACTAATGTTAGTACACACGCATACACACACATTTCCAACTGGCCCTCTAAATGACACACTTAAGGAAGATTTTCAAGAATGAACAATCTTTGGATGATAAGACTTGACAGAATTTAAGAAAGGCAGCAAATGGTAGAAACTCCAATTCTGTGCACACAATTCACATTTTGAAAATCTGGCAAACATGAGAACCATCTGACACATGTTTCATCAGAAGCATTTAATAAATATGGGTTAACATACAAAAATACAGTAACAAACCCAGTAGTCTGCTACAGTCGTATAATGAGGATTTGCTACTAAACAATTACCATGCATTATTTCCTACCTCCAACCTGCAAAAGTGGAATCCCTTTGTAAAAACAAAACTACGACATGAGCAGAATGTTTACATTTCAAAATAGAAGCATTAATTTCATTTAGAATGAAACATGTTAAAAATGTCTACCTAAAACTTTTGGAATAAATAAATATTGAGCACTGCTCCTTTCAATATTTGTATAGGGATTGGTATATAAATCTGTATCTACAATACACCAACCAACAACAGGGGAAACGGCAAATTTCAACCATGTGAGTTAGACACATCAACATGATATAAAAGAACAGAATGTAACATGCAAACCTTAAAAGAGGCCATTATCACAGAATAACTCTGGTATAATCAAAACAGTCTAATATCTCGCCACCTAAACACCAAGATGTCAAGTATTCATGCCAGAAATATCTATTTATCAATCACATATATATCATTTAATGCAACCATCTATCACGACCATAAGATTAAAATCAGGATATTCAACACAAGATAGTGAACTTCTGACCACTCCATATTAAGACTTAAAATATACATGTCATTATGATCGTTAAAAGGGAAATGTGAACATAAAACAGACCTGTAAACAAATCTGTGGGAACAGTGTTGCTAAATGGGTGTAGTATTTCAATATTATGACATGCATAGATGATACAACAGTTAACTGAGTCTCCCAGTGATAAATACAAACTACTTCACTGGGTTTAATATAAAACCAATACACTCCCTATAGTATAGTTTCATATATAGATGAACAGAGTGACAATTTTATCTTTAAAAATGTTCATAGTAAATTAATTCTCCTTGTAACACATTAAAATAATAAGATAAAATATGCCTTATGGGCCATGGTTACAATTGCAACTATGGTAATAGGATTGGTTAGATCTTAATGCATTTGTTTATTAATTAATATTAACAAAATATGTTTGCATACATGTTGGTTGTTGGTTCTTCTGTACATTTAACTGGTTTATTAACCTGCCATGCTTGACATGACAATATATATATATATCTACACACATCTGAAGCAGGGCAGTATGTGACTAAGTGAATCCCCTATAAAAATAGAACTGTACACATTCTGAAATCCTCCAGCCAGGAAGTATGGACAATAATAACGTTGTGACTCTCAGTTGGTGGGCGTTGCCGGAACAGAGTGGTTGATATCATCGTAGATGGGAGGTCTTCACACTACGAGTATGAGGAACCGATCTGAAGGTAAAGAAGCACAAGTTAAACCTTCATTTACATTCAAGTGGTTGCTGAGAGAGAATGCACATTTTCAGCTTTAACATTTTCAACCTCATTTCAGCTACTTGCCAGTTCAGCATGTTCAACACATCATGTGCATTCTTAGAGTTTAATCCACCAGTTTATACTCTAGGCCTTGCAGTAACTCAATAATCAGGCTATTATATTTCATGCTCAAGAAATTCTGAAAAAATAGCTAAATAAGACCAATGTCAATCTGATTCTGCTGACTGCGTCTTCAGGTTACACATTCATCCCATATTCCTGCAATTTGGAATAATTATTTCATTGCAGCTCAACATTAACAAACCATGATAATGAAAAACATGTATATACACAAATATTTTTCCCTTTAATGAAAACCCACATACACCACTTAACAGACAGTTTCTTGCATATCGACAACCTTACAGAATAAATGCTACATAAGACGAACCATGCACTTCTGCAAACATGAGGTATACATTTCTTGAATCTGCTAATTGTACACGTTGGAAACGAGTAGACAAGTCTACAGACGTCAAACCGACGACAGAGGACACAACAACACAGTCAAATCACATCGGATCAAATTTCTTCATGACAATCTAGTCTATGGTTCAACTCTCTTCATGGCCAACAAATCACAATAACATGCATCAGTTGGTTTACCTGACATGTCCACGTTATGAGAGGTGTTTTCATTCAATAATCTATGCATTATAGATGTTTCACTCAATAATCTATGCATTATGGCAATATTACTCAGTAATCCATGCATTATGGCTGTTTCACTCAGTAATCTATGCATTATGGCTGTTTCACTCAGTAATCTATGCATTATGGCTGTTTCACTCAATAATCTATGCATTATGGCTGATTCACTCAGTAATCTATGCATTATGGCTGTTTCACTCAGTAATCTATGCATTATGGCTGTTTCACTCAGTAATCTATGCATTGTGGCTGTATTACTCAGTAATCTATGCATTTTGGCTGTTTCACTCAGTAATCTATGCATTATGGCCGTTTCACTCAGTACTCTATGCATTATGGCAATATTACTCAGTAATCCATGCAGTATGGCTGTTTCACTCAGTAATCTATGCATTATGGCTGTTTCACTAGGTAATCTATGCATTATGGCTGTTTCACTCAATAATCTATGCATTATGGCTGATTCAATAAGTAATCTATGCATTATGGCTGTTTCACTCAGTAATCTATGCATTATGGCTGTTACACTCAGTAAACTGTGCGTTATGGCTGTTTCACTCAGTTATCTATGCATTATGGCTGTATTACTCAGTAATCTATGCATTATGGCTGTTTCACTCAGTAATCTATGCATTATGGCTGTTTCACTCAGTAATCTATGCATTATGGCTGTATTACTCAGTAATCTATGCATTATGGCTGTTTCACTCAGTAGTCTATGCATTATGGCTGTTTCACTCAGTAATCTATGCATTATGGCTGTTTCACTCTGTAATCTATGCATTATGGCTGTATTACTCAGTAATCTATGCATTATGGCTGTTTCACTCAGTAATCTATGCATTATGGCTGTTTCACTCAGTAGTCTATGCATTATGGCTGTTTCACTCAGTAGTCTATGCATTATGGCTGTTTCACTCAGTAATCTATGCATTATGGCTGTATTACTCAGTAATCTATGCATTATGGCTGTTTCACTCAGTAATCTATGTATTATGGCTGTTTCACTCAGTAGTCTATGCATTATGGCGGTATTACTCAGTAATCTATGCATAATTGCTGTTTCATTCAGTAATTTATGCATTAGACATGTTAGAGATGTTTCACTCAGAAAACTACGCATTGTTGCAGTTTCACTTACAAATCTAGGTATAATGGTTGCTTAAATTAGCAATCTATGCATTATGGCAGTTCCATTCAGTAATCTATGCATAATGGCTGTTTTGTGAAGAAATCTATGCATAATGGCTGCTTTGCAAAGAAATCTCTGCATAATGGCTGCTTTGCAAAGAAATCTATGTATTGTTTGTTTCACTTTGCTTTATGACTGTATCACTGTGTAATCTATGCTTTATGACTGTTTCACTGTGTAATCTATGCATTATGACTGTTTCACTGTGTAATCTATGCTTTATGACTGTTTTACAGTGTAATCTATGCATTATGACTGTTTTACAGTGTAATCTATGCTTTATGACTGTTTTTCAGTGTAATCTATGCTTTTTTGACTGTTTTACAGTGTAATCTATGCTTTATGACTGTTTTACAGTGTAATCTATGCTTTATGACTGTTTTACAGTGTAATCTATGCTTTATGACTGTTTTACAGTGTAACTTATGCATTGTGAGGTGCCAAGTCATCACAACATCTTAGAAACACCCATCCTTGGTTACCCTGTGTATCAGATCTCCATTCTATTTGTATAAACACCCTGGACACATGGCTCCACAGCTTTGTTTTGAGTTTGAATGACATTATGCTATACATAGCCAACCTATTGCATCGCTCTATATTGATTGAAACAAGTGGTGTCTCAACAACAACTGTGAATGCCCGACAGCAAAAGCTTTCCCTCCCATATGAAAATACACAGGAAATGATCTTTTCAAGCTAAAAGTTTACATGTAACAAGTTCACTTATAATTGATTTGAGTAAATACATTGAGGACACAATTCTGATTATAGAGCTATGCTGAACTATTGTTCAGAATGTCATTTTGTTGATTTCACGTACAAGAGCAAGAGACATTTGCTCTAAGTGATAATTACCAAGTAAGTGATCAAAGTGATTTTACCAATTGGATTGAACTAGCGTTGATCTGGTAGTATGTATGTTGTAATAGCAGAGTTATTTCCCTTTAGCTGTGCCATCAATGCACCTATTACACTTGGTGAAACCAATGAGAACAGGTATGTGGCTGAGAAACCAAGAAACAAAACCAGGGCGAACCGGGATTCGAACCCACAATCCCAGGTTAGAAGGCCTAAGGGAGGCAACTCTGCACAGCGCATTTTATAAAGGAAACAGAAAGCTTGTGCCTTGAGGGCATAAAATAAAATTATGAATTGTTATTCTACAGGTCAATATCACAAGGAAACAGACTGACAGGAAAAGAAACTACAGCTTTAGTTTTGAACATACCATTCACTGAAGCAGCTGAACTACTCTGTTACAGTTAAAACACCATCAGCATATCACCAATGATCAATATCCCACCAAAATCCTCTACCATTATCATTACTGCAATGATTTAATCAAGGACATCAGAAACCCTGGAAAGCTAATACCTCTGCATCGTCGTTTATCCAGTGTATTGTATCTCCATTCTATTATGATAAATACCCTGGGCCTATCTCCTGCCATAGCTTTGTATTGAGTCTGGTTCGAATGATACTAAAACTAAACAGTTGTCCGATCAAATAAACCATGGTTGTGTGAGGACAATCCTCCCTCTGTCTTCATTGTAAGGAAAAAATCTTTTCCAGCAAAAATGTTATTGATAACATCTATTGTTCCGACTACAAATACTGAGAGTTCGCTTCTAGGAGGCCACAGTATTGATTATTGAATGCAGATCTATGTCAAACTCTGTTTCAAAAGAGTCATTCTCAGTTGTTGTTTTCTAGCTCAGGATTAAGTGAAATCCTGTCCTAATATACTAATAAGAGAGATGGAAAAGGTGACTTCCGAAACGAAGTGGCAAATTAGTCGAGCATATTTAACATAGTAGAGGTGAAATAAGGCGACCAGTGCTAGCAGCGTTAGAAATTGGCACTAGTCCTGTAGTCTTTGCCAAGCTGCCCAAAAGTTATGGTATCATAAGGACTAGTAGAAATTTGACATTCTTAAGGGGTTTGCTATATATGTGATCATCATAAGGAATATTGGATGAAAAATGTTAGTGTCTTCCGCTGGCTAGCCTACAAAGATACCATGCCACAGTTTCATATGAATACCCAACAGAGTGCCAGGCAGGGTAACAGCAAGTACCATCTTTTGGTTTTGGGGATCAAAATACCAACCTTATCATGCTTATGTTCTTCCCACTTCCCCAAGATGTTATCATTATAACAAGGAGACAACAAACACTGGATTATCAACGATGCATGACCCAAACAAGGATTATTTGCAGCCTTCTGAATGATATGACAGTAATGACAGGTGATGCTCAACAGTTGTTCTTCCCAACTAGTAAGAATTAACTAATAATCAACTACACCTCTTCCATGTTCAGCATATTGACCACACCAGTCATTGTTCTGAAGTCCCCCATGCGTCAAGTACAGAAATATAAATTTTGTGATATCTGCATCAGTATTCTTGAATAGTTCACTAGTTGCAATTTTGGATACTATCTGAGTGAGGATGAAGGTTCATTTTAACAGGACAGATGAAGGGATATAGATTATCTGGTGACAACATGTCTTTGTCATGTGTCCTGCAGAATCATCGCTAGAGCATAGTCTCCATAAACCTAGAATTCACTGAAATAATTTTGAAATATCTCCTAAAATGCTACAGCTATGGTTAGGGTCAAAAGCATTGAGCCGTTTTGTTAAGGCGATAAGACTAAAGACTATTTTTTTTTATAACTAGATAACCATAAAATACTAAAAACTAACTGAATTGACAAATAAAAACTAACTTATTTTCATTTAATGAATTCAACAATTGTGTTGTGCTGAGTTTCGTTGTATGTCTGACAGAGTGAAAAATGAGTGGACTTGACAGGAGTAGAGAAGAGTTAGACTTACTGTATAGTTGGAGCGTAAGTGATATTTGTAGGGCCAGGAACTGTTGATATCAGCTGTGGTTTTATAAATATCCCTCGAACTAGAATACAGGTTGCTTTTATTGTCCAAACTCTTATTATCATGGTAGTCTGATTCTAAATCAAGGCTACGCCTAGTCCAGCTGCTAGATGAGACAAAAAGAAAGGACAAGGTCAGACATGTTGAAAACGTTCATTTAACGATCAAAGTGTGATCGAGTCATGCCACACAACAACATCTACATCTACTCTAGCATCCAATATAAGGTGTCACTCGTCACTTCACATGCAAAGCTAGGCCACTCATGCCATGGTTAGTTTCATAATTAAGAATCATGGTCAATCTTTACTGTTATTAGTAGGTATGTGAATATCAGTATTATATTCCCTTCACCACTTTAGATATTATTATTACTCCTTACATTCAATGTAAAATAAGTGAGACACTCAAAGTGAGACATGATTTGAAAATCATGAAGCTAACACCAACTCGACTTATTTTGTCAGTGAAAACAGTGTGAGACAGCTGGACTGCCAGCATGCAGCAACATCGACTGAATTGATGACATTCTCATTAAAATCTCGTCTTAGTTCTCTCTACCGCTAAACAAAGATATGAGGACATACCATTACAGATCACATCAGAACGACCATTCGCTAACTTTAACTGACCAATGAAATTACTAACCCGTCAACATAAGCTAATCAGAAAGCAGTTTTCTCGGGTTATACGGCACTAGTTTCAAATTGGCAAATTCCATTCTAGACTACTTTTGGAAAAATATTTTGAAACAGTTCTCGATTTGAAAACTGAAGAAAAAAACATTCTGGAAAGTCCAATAGATGGCCAAGATTGTATGGCAGTACCTCTCAAGGGGCAATGCAAAGTGTCTTCCGTTTAAATGTTTATCCTATTTAAACAAGAGATAGGTAATGATTTTGACGAAATCCAGTCTTACAGCCCGTAACTGTCGCTCAGAATACCCTGTTTTCACCAATTTGAGGTTGCATGATTAGAAAACACATTCCGACTGTCACTTTTCTGGTCTGGTAAGCGACACTATGATTGGTCAGATGAAAGGTCGTTCTGATGTGACCCGTAGTGGGATGTCCTCAGATCTTTGTTTGCGATAGTGAGAACAAAAATCTAATTTCAATGAGATTGAACTGAAGCAGGCCACAACAACCTGCTGACAACACTGGTGCACCTTAGAACGAAGTAAAGGGAAAATGTGCACACAACAGTCACTAACGTTATCGCTGGGTACTTCAACTTCATATGTTTATTTATCACTGATTTGTGAATGATGTTCATGCTACCAGTAGGTAATTTACCATTAACAGTTCGATCATAACATGTAGATAGTCAAAAAGAAAAACTATTTTAACTAAAACTAATAGAGTCATACCTCAAAAAATAATACTGAAGAAAACACTAGGAATGTTCTGGTCTTAAAAATAATTTACTATTGAAGGTTCACATCCCTACTAAAATCAGAGAGTAAAATTCAAATTGAAAACATGATGACCCCTGTCCATGTACAGCAGCAAGGAAATCTCACTACAAAGTATTATTTTTAGTGCATAGATTATCAAAAGTATAACGCATGTAGGCCGTGCAAATAGAGGAGCACATACATCATAAACACGATAACTGTACCAGAACCAAATGGGAAGACAGACCACAAAATGTCAATAAAACAAAGATGCTAGTAACCATGGTAATGGGTGAATGAAATGGAACAAAATGAAGATGGAACATTATCTTGTGTTGTCATGCAAGGAGAAAAATAGCATTCAATAGTTAACACTGTAAGACATCAATGTGACTACAATGAAGTACCAACAATGACTTAATATGCACTAATGCATAGTGGGTGTCACACAACTGCATTCTGGGTACCTTCGCTGCTCAAAATCGGAGTGTTTTTGTCACATTCTACTTACTTCTAAATCAGTTTATGTAAACTCTGTGCCAAAATCTTTTGAGTCTACAAGCACGAACTTGTCATTCTACATTCTGTTCGTGCATGGCTTATCACTGACCAACTCAAATCACAGTTGACTCTGTGAAATGGTAGTGGTAGACCCATAGCCAGTGTTGTCCGAGGACTGTGTAATGCTTTTAACCATTTTAAGAAGATGAAGTTTTGTGCTGAGAATGGATGCTTTAGTGAGCTTCTGACGTTGGAGCAGCAAGGGTACCCAGATACAAATAGATAAAACACTTGGGACAAATTTGAATGGAAGATTATGACAGTTAAAATAACATGAATAATGCACCACAAGGGGGATATAAAACCAATGTGAGCAATAAAACTTAGTGAACTAAATAGTTGATAAAATAACAATATCAAATGAGGAGGTACTGATAAAAGCAGGCAGTAAGTGTCGCCCAGGTCAAGGCGACCCAGGTGACAGGAAGCTGTACCACAGCACAATGCCCGCCTACCTAGACTGAATGGTTTTCCTCAAACAATACTGCTGATGTTTTCTACAAGAAAACAGGCACTTGTGTCAGTATGAAGGAGATAAATCAGCATTCAGTGAATCTTAACTGGACTAAACGTTAAAGTGACATCTAATGTTATCTTCATGCCTCGGATTTGGACATAAGCATAAAATGTTATCTAACAAGTGAATCAAAACATATTTCATATTTCCAGCAGCAATTATATAAAACATATACTTATAGTTTTCCCTTATTCATACTGAATGACACATCTGGCATCTTCTCCAATAAAAGATTTAGCCTGTCGAGCCAGGCTTCATTGGGAAGAGATAGGACTTCTACTTAAATCAAATCAGACTAAGCTGTCTATCACTGGATCTGAGGTGATTCCTCCCATGTCAGCCTTCCATCTCCCATGCACACTGTAGAAATATGTCACCTGTCCCTGCAACAGATGGGGTCATACCCTGATCTTTCCAACATTATATTTCCAAATATTCCTGAGTGAGTGAGTGAGTTTGGTTCTATGCCGCTTTTAGTAATATTCCAGCAATATCACGGCGCAGGGCACCAGATATGGGCTTCACACATTGTACCCATGTCGGGAATCAAACCCAGGTATTCGGCGTGACATGCAAACGCTTTAACCACTAGGCTACCCAACCACCGCCCAATGTTCCTGAGAACTTCCTCCTGTTACAGAGCATGCAGCATCACCAACTTGGGGCTCATATGATCCTTGTAGACCCACTCTACTCTACTTGATATATATATATATTTTCTATTCCAAAATATAATCAAACAGTAATGTCTTTCTGTTGTTTCATGCTGCTTTCGGTAATATTCCAGTTATGCCTGTAAAAGATCGAGTCCGTGCCAGAAACACTAGTGCTTGACATGATAAGTGAAGTCACCAGCTGCTGGGGTATGACTAAACTATCATTTCCTATTCAGGAAGAAAATTATTTTGACCAAATCGTTATTGAGTATCATTAGTGTTGCAATGTGTTATGTGATTAGATCCAGGTTGAATGTCCAAGAGAGCACACATAGACTGAATAAACACACTGAAAGGAGGGCGGTTATGATATTCTGTTGGAACAAACTCTATGATGATCTCTATGGGGAGTGACAGGAGACATTTCTGAGCATTGTGCATGGGAGTGGGTAGGTGTGCTGGTGTCCAGCAGGGAGCAGAGTTAGGATGCATACTGGCGACAGCAGATACATACCTCTTGGCACTTGATAGCGAACTTCCCGTCAGGCGGGTACTTCGCTTGGTGGATGCGTTAGCATGGTTGTTTGCAAGCACAGCTGAGGAAACCTTGGAGGATTTCAAAGGGGACATAACTCCCTGAGCACTCTTAGATCCTGCCATGCGCAGAGGTTGTGTTGTCGACCTCTTGTGAACTTTGCCATCATCGATGCTGAGGGAGAGAGGGGTGGTTTGGGTAAATGTGCAGTGCGCAGGTTGCATGTGGCTTGTTATGGGTAGAGGAATATTAAACACGATCACATTTACTTTCATAGGCTACTACATCCAAAATCTCAACTCTCAAACAGTGTCTGAAGTAACTTTTACTTCCAGCAAGCCAGGAGGGTTAGTGCATAGTAAATGGAACTAGCCCTTCTTGAAAGTTGCACGCCCACATTTGTAAATAGATGCTAGAGTAGATGAACTGATAATCATTATCATTTTTTTCACATTAGCTTTGCTCGATACCTCTACATTTACAGCTTTAAAATCACAAAGGTATTTCCTTCTCTCAGGTAAGTTATTCACATATATGTCTGATTCATAATTTTCAATGAAATTGGATGAAATTTACCACTAGACAGTCAGGCAGGTGGGAATAAATTTCACCTATCCCGACAGAAATGTTACCAGCCACAGGATAGAGGGCAGGCAGCTATTTTGGACACTGTTCACACAAGCAAGCTTCTTGCAGTCACTCGGTACACAAACTCATGTCATTCAGTGAAGAACAGTTTTGCAACATATGTCAGGAATATTGCTGTAGCATAATTTGGAGATAAATGGGAAAGAAAAGCCAAACTTCCTTACTTGCAAAATTATTCAGATCTGTACAAGAAAAGGTTTGAGTGTATAGTGTTGTACAGGGCAGTCAGAACATGACAGCCACCACAGCAGCCATTAAGTGATCAACTACTGATCAGGCAAACCAATGATTGATCACATGAGCATCTATCTATGCCATGTGGCCACTATGTATTACTATCTCATACACTGTAAGATAATGACCACTAACTTATTAGCCAGAACAAGCAAGCAGTGAACTGGGAAACTATTGTATTCCTGAATCTACAACACTATCATTAATCATTATAAAAACACAAATCCCAAGAAAACATTGAAGATCGCCACATGCAATTTTAGCAAACAGTAGTCATGACACTTTCTTGTAATTTCTGCATATCAAACAATTTATTTTCTGTTTCTGGGTCCAATCAACATCTCAGAAAGACAAACAGTCACCCATCAATCCCCAACAGCCCACTTTCTAAAAAAAAAGAAGAAGAAAAGTAAATACCCAAATACCCTTCTCCCTCAACAACCAGACAAGAATGTACTTAGGAAATGATTGCAATCTCATTAGAATTCAATCTTAGTTCTCACTATCGCTACACAAAGATCTGAAGACATCCCATTATGGGTCACGTCAGACCGACCTTTCGCGAACTTTGACCGACCACTGAAACGACTAACAAGAGTCGACATCAGCCAATTAGGAAGCAGTTTTCTCGAGCTTTACGGCACTCGTTTCAACCTGGCGACTTTCATTTCAGACTACATTTGAAAAGTATGTTGACACAGTTGACGATTAAAATTTTGAAAACTGAACAAACGAACATTCCGGAATTTCTAATATATGGTTGAGATTGTATGGCAGTGCTTCCCACATACTGTGCAACCCCTCATCCGATCAAATGTTTATCCCACGGACAATTTTGGCGGAATCAATCATACAGGCCGTAACTGTCATTCGGAATAGCCTGTGTTAACGTTTTCGAGGTTGCATGAGACAACATATCCCGACTGTCACTTTCAAGATCTGGTAAGCGACGCTTTGATTGGTTGGATGAAAGGTCGTTCTGACATGACCCGTAATGGGATGTCATCAGATCTTTGTTTAGCGGCAGCGAGAACTCAGATCTGATCTTAATGAGATTGGAAAGGAATGTAATTTTCAGTAGGCTTATCTCCTCTTTCAGAAATCCTTTACATTAGCAGCCATTAGAACAGGTGTCACATAGTTCCTAAAACATATTGCTTAAAATCAGTTCATCCCTGCCAACTCAGCCTAGTAATAAAGTCATATTTGGGCTACAGAGGGCTAGACTGATGGTGTACGCACCCAAGTGCTCCAGTAGTGGCTGATCGAGGATGCCTTCTCTGCATCTTCAGCTGGTTCAGTTTGTCTCCTTGTGTCTCGATGGCACTACTCCTTGTCACGGGCCCAGAATAGATCTGATGACGAAAAGGTTTCAGTTGGATCCACTTGATATGTAAATAATATGCATTAGCAAATACCACAGATACAAACACTTGCTGAAGGACAGCAAACTAAACATACCTCCATGTTAAAACATTTCTAGGTTAAGGCTAAAAATGATGGGCTTGTGTTTATTTCTTTACTACCCCAATCATGAAGAACTGCCATGCCTTAACCGTTTTCAACAGATGATGTGTCAAGAACCTACCAGTTCTAATAACCATAATGCTTAAGAAGTCGGGAAGGGGGGGTTCACTTTTTCGTTCCCCATTATGTCATTCCAGATTTTTCATTTCAATGAACTTTTCAATCGTACTTAGACAAAATCATTATCATCTTATCACTGCTGATGGCAGTTTAATGGGTTTTTTATTATCAAGGACCTGTTGTTGAGTACAACAAATCAGTGGCTGACAGCATAACCATTGATGTTTTGTTGTTGTTGTTTTTTCTTTAACGCCGCACTCAGCAATATTCCAGCTATATGACGGCTATCTGTAAATAATCAAGTCTGGACCAGACAATCCAGTGATTGAGATCATGAGCACTGATCCATGAAATTAGGGTACGATGACATGCATCAATCAAGCCTAACCACCTGATCCCGCCTCTTACGACAAGCATAGTCGCATCTTATGACAAGCATGGGTTGCTGAAGACTTTTCTAACCCAGATCTTCACAGTTATCAGGGTATGATGACACACATATTATGTAGAGAAATGAAAAAACAAAATTATGAATATCTCACGTTATCCTCATCATGATATTTGCCATAGCTGTACTTGTCCGAGTCCAGGGCATCTTGTATACACATGTCATCCACACCTGTCAGGATCTTTGACACGCCTCCATACCGCTCACGACTTCTTTCTTTCTGTTTGGCTCGGAAAAGATCTCCTTGCATCCATAACCAAGCCTGTTTCCTAACAATATATACGTGGGTAGTCAGCAGAGCTACAGATAAGCAGTGTATTTGCGTAAAATACCTCCGAAAAATATTCAAAACCCAATTACTTTCAATTAACTTGCATACAGAAACACATGCATTGAATCAAAAACTCAAATGTATTAAAAAAAAAAGGCATGTGTAAATGTAAATACCCAATGAAGCTTTTTCAGCATGTGTACAAAGTAGCTAATTTCCGAAACATAATAATGAGCTAATTTACTTTCCAAGTCAAGCCTATATATTTACAACAGTTATATCTATCTAAAACATTATTTCATTTTTTTGAAATCTTAAAATGTTCACATATTCTGGGAAAAACCTTATAGAGTGATGAATAGATGATTGAAAAAATATTGGTTACCCAATGAAAAATGAAATAACCCAAGTAAAAAAGAAACCCTAGAGAAAAAACTAAATTGCTCAAAAAGTTATCTGGAGCTGAGAGTGAGGCACTTGTGATGCAATTGTATGGTGAATTCTGGGTACAAACCACATCAGGATCAACAGGGATTACTGATCATTTTATTCAAACTCACATAATGGTGAACAAAAACCATTTCAGAGCTACTTTTGTGATAACTTGATATATATCAACCTTGGAACACAGCATTCAAGCAGTGGGCAAGAACTTTACAATTTCAACATTTCAATTTTGATGACCCTTCACTAAAAGTGTTACTTATTCTACTTCAACATTTTTAAAAAAGAGAATGTTTAAATACAAGATCTAAATAAACACTAAACATTTACACATTGGGTGATCATGTGTAAATGTATTACCAACTAACTTTCCCATTTGGTGATACATTATACGACTACAGTGCACTGCGCAACACGACTTTCTAAATAACAAAATGCATCCCTCCATACAAATAAAGCTGTAACAGTGCTTGGAAAGTAGTGACCAGTATCTACAGCTACCTGTGTCATGAATCTCTCATGAACAACCAAGGATCTAAAGATCCGTAAGAGTTAAGAAAGGGTAAAAAAAATAATAGTCTTGGTTCTCAGACACCGCCTGCATCATCATAAAGTCTGCCGCATGTTTTGATTTTGTTTCAATTTTCAAAAAAATAAAATAATCCTAATACTTAAAAACAATGCGATCCCATATAAAACACAGTTACTTCCCTTTACATGCGCACTGCTCTACTGTGTATCTCATGTCATGGTAATGGTGGCAATAGGAGTTTATATGCTTGTTAATGTAGGGAGGCCCTTTCCCAGGCTGATGGTACACAACTGTTTATTTGGTTACATACTAGTTTGAACAACCAAAAAAACAAAACAAAACAACAACAACAACAACAAAAAATGCCATCCTGCACTATATTTTCAAAAGTCATTGCCTGAGAACCAATTCTCTTATTTTTTTTCAAGCTTAACAGGTGCTTGAAACTAAGGACTCACTCTTCAAGAAAGTTCTGCTGCGGCCCGATGACGGACCCAGGCCGCGATATCCTGTTCCAGCCAATGGCCTCCGCTGCTGTGAACTTGTAGTGCTTCATCATGTAGCAACATATCAACGAACCCGTCCGCCCCAGACCAGCTGCAACATCAGGGGGAGCGAGTGATGGGGGTGGTGATGCAGCCAGCAATGTAACAACCATCATCACAGTCTACATGCACTATGTATTGGTGGTGGGACGATACACCGATGTATCGCGATTGTTTACTTCTCGATACAAGTATCGATCACACCTTAAATGTTTGATTTAATAACTGTTCCACTAAACACTAATCAGCTGTGCAAGTTAAAAGTGAAAACATAAATATTTTCATTTGTTGTGCCATACTTCTCACTGCCAACTGTAAATCATCAGTGTGCCAGTGCACCACAGATAAGAGAAAATGCAAGTACCGTGATACATATCGGAGTTGGTGTATCGTCCCAGCCCTACTATGTATACTTGACATTTCAAGTTAGAATTATCTAAAAAGAAGCTGCACATACTTTTACTGTAACTAGACAAATAGTGAACTGTCTTTCTTGAAGTAAGGGTTTTAGCCCTGAATATCAACAGAATATGAATAAGATGTCAGACTCAAAAGCATTTACAGAGATGACAACTAACAATAGCTTTAATGTGAGGTATGTTTAAAATACGAACAGGTTCCAAATGCATGGGGTATTGTGTGGTGTGTGTGGACCATATATCATAGACTGTCCACAGTTAATGATAAAGGCTTCACAAATGGATCAGTGAAATCTAACTTTATATTATTCTATACAGAACACAGCAAAACATGTAGGCTACCTTTACAATGTACTGCAATACCCCCATCAGTGTTCTCAGACAATTCAAGGAACTGTCTGACGATGCTGTCGCTTGGAACGCTGCCATCGATGAAGAAAAGATCGTAGTGATCAAAGCCAGCATCTGTGAAGCGTCTGGCATCATAGATCTTCTTATTGAGCCTAACTATCGTTGTCACGTTGTGTTTCCGAAAGTAAGGGAAGTATGCTTCAGGTGCATGCAAAGGGTAACCTGAAAAGAGTCAAAAATAGTGTCTGGTCTAAAGAACTAAGGATGAAAGTTCAATAAATAAATCAAACATTTTTTTAATTAGTTTTTTAACAATTCCTTGCTTTCATTGTTAATCATGGTAATGCCTTTGTTGCATCTGGATCCCGAACCCTATAATGTTATATATTACTCAAAAGAAGTTAAGCACTACCTGATTCTTTCATATTACTATGGCTTATCTGCCACAGCATTACAGATTAACTATAGTAATATGAAAGAATAGGATGGTTCTTTTGAGCAGTATATATTATAATTCCCTACGTTGAAGACGTTGAATACCTGGCATATTACCATACAGTCCTAATCAACTCCATAACAATTGGCAAATTAAAACACATCTTGTAATGTCAGATATTGAATAAACAAAGATGTAACACCTTATAACTTCAAAATTTACACAAAGAAACAACAGCACTGGTCGGTAAATCAAAATATAATAGAATTAGGAAAGTAAATTATATCAAAGCATGGTCAATATACTCAATGCAAAACCGAGCTGGCAACTTATGACACAACTTGAAAACATGCAAAACATGAAGAATATGGCCAAAACAAGATCATATAGCAAAGGCATACATGCTTTAGACTTTGGGTTAGTTTCAGAGATGGCATAAGCAAGGCATTCATGGGAAAAGCGAAGAGGAGGACAAAGCAAAGGAAGAGGATTGCCCGGATGAAAGTATACCATGATGGCTTGTCCCGTTACCCTCCTACCCACAAACAATGAACTCTGTCCCATTACCCTCCTACTCACAATGATCTCCCCGTCCCGTTACCCTCCCACTTACAATGAACTCCATCCTGTTACCCTCCTTCACACAAAGAATGAACTCCGTCCCGTTACCCTTCTACTCACAAACATTGAACTCCCCGTCCCGTTACCCTTCTACTCACAAACAATGAACTCTGTCCCGTTACCCTCCTACTCACAAACAATGAACACGTCCCTTTACCCTCCTACTCACAAACAATGAACCCCATCCTGTTACCCTCCTACTCACAAACAATGAACGCCATCCCATTACCCTCCTACTCACAAACAATGAACACCATGACGTCCCGTTACCGTCCTACTCACTAACAATGAACACCATCCCGTTACCCTCCTACTCACAAACAATGAACACGTCCCTTTACCCTCCTACTCACAAACAATGAACACCATGACATCCCGTTACCGTCCTACTCACTAACAATGAACACCATCCCGTTACCCTCCTACTCACAAACAATGAACGCCATCCCGTTACCCTCCTACTCACTAACAATGAACTCCCTGTCACATTACCCTCCTACCCCTGAACCCTGGATGTGACACGTTACACACATGCTGGTAACAAACCTCTTTCATGATGATGTAGATGGCAGTTATCTTGTTACAAACAGCTCATGAGATGATGGCTAAATCATGCCTTTATTCACCCTTTGATGCAGAGCTTGTTAACATTTTTACAATTTTATTTACGTAATTAATACCACTGTTCTGTCTTCGAAACATAGGAAATAGAGAGGACACATTTCTAATCAGTTCTGTAACATTAGCTTGATAAGAGGGTGTGGTCACCATCAAATAGATTCTTGTTCCATAACGTTTGTGTTTAGTAATGTTTATAATTTTGTATGCAAAACACTTAAATATAAATAATGGGTTGATGAGTGAGTTAATGCTGTTATAAGATCTACAGCAAGCAACATTATTGAAAGAAATTCAAAACAAATTTATCCTTAAAATCAATTGTAAATTGAAGACATATGCCTCTAACAAATCAAAATATCAGTACTATCCTTGAGAGCAAATGCTTTGCTAAAGGGAAGTAACTCTTTCAGGATTAACTAGACAATCACTGTTGATAAACCCAAAAACTTTCTTGTCCAAGGGTTGTTATTTACCTAGAAATCCATGATTCGTCAACATCAAAATGAAGGATGAGCTGCCTTATTCCTCATGCCTTGCACATTATTCCATCAAATTACAAACAATACATATCAACGATGAAAACATGAAACATGCTCAACGAAAAGAAGAAAAAAAACACTTCCAAAAATTAAAATACACTACCATCACTAGTGTTATCTACACGCTGTCAACCATACCATAATCTAGACGACTCTTTGGATGCGGTCCGCTAAACGCGAGGAACTTGCCAGGAACAATCCAGTTAAGGTCGCCGTTTTCTACCCGCTGGATGGGGGAAGGAGAGTGAGACAAGACGAGGATTAGTGCGTGGCTGGACGCAGCCCGGCAGGGGCGGGATCACACATGAATACGAGCTATGTCTGGCCCTTCTACGTCCCGGTTAGTAAAGACATGCATCAACATCTCAAGGTGCATAGGTCAGTGGACCATCATTAGTTGACATGCATCAAAACCATTCCTGTTTTTCAGAGAACAGGGCTCTCTGTCCCACTTGACATCTCAGCTGTCTGCGACTTTACTTTAATCAAGTTTCTTTCAGGAGTAAATTGTAACGTCATGATTCACTACTACAAGGTATTAAAGCATCATGACATTTCCCCAACAATATTCAGTGTACCTACAGCATGTACATCGCATCTGGAGCAGTTATGGGGGTCTGTCATTTTATCCATCAAACATGACCACTGTCCACATGATCATTGATTCAGTCAAGGCTCTAAAGTAATCATCAAAACGTACAGTGCACTACACCATTTTGTTACTTAACAGAACCTTCATATTGCCCGCAAAAACCCTCAAAATCAATTATTGGGGGTCCCCTGGACCTCTCTTTTGTAAATCAAGGTAAAACACTGCCTACCCATGTATCGATTTATGTATAAATTCTGTATCGATTTCAAAGACACTTTGTATAACCTGGTGTGATAGTTACTCCTACAAGTGTTACCATACTGTCCATCATGAAACAAAATGCTGGATCTGATTATGTAATGCTAGCAGCATGAGCCTAAATTAACCAGAAATATGACTTAATAGCAACAACATGTTTGAAGGGTCACATGGATCAAGGACAATTTTACCTCCAAACAGGTCAGCATTTAAGTTTGCATTGATCGGTATAAAAATCAAACAATAGGTGCCATTGTTAATAATTCTAAGAATATTACCTCCCACCCACCTCAAACATTATCTGCATTTATGTTGATATTTGATTATTGAAAAGAAGTGAGGTTTCCCATCTTAGGAATGCACAAGAGCACTGGGCAGTGGTATTGAAGTGGTAGTGAGTATTGTCCAAACGACTGATTACGAATAGCTGACAGTAAAGAGGACTTCTCTTGAAAATCTAAACCTTTTTATGGAGTGATGACAGCCAAAATACAGGATTATGGCAATCATGTAACAGAGGTAAGCTATTCGCGCAGCAAATAATGCTTTTCAGGTTGTTTTTCTCTAATTTTCCTTTCTTTAGAGAGAACATTCTTAGCAGCATGTACAGTACCCCAGTTATTTTAAAAGTATATAAACCTTAGTTACAGAATAGACAGTAAGATATCCATGTGGGACAGCCTGTGTATCAATTAGTTGAATTCTTTGAGGACGTACCAGAGCCACAGACATAGCTTGCTAACATAAACCACAACCGGGAACACTTATTTCCTTACAAAATACAACTGTTTGAACAACACAAACATTTCATTAAAGTTTCATCAAAATTTTCTTCACCTAAGGACAAAGTCAAAAATGACTTGGAAGGCTATCATTTCAATGATTCCATCATATTTGTTGTATTTTCGAAAATTATTTCTACATGTTCTGTGATGTTTCAGACAAGCTGTCAATTGTAGTGAAACTGTGCATTGCTAGTTAGGACATTCACATGGTGCTTCGTTTCGACACAGCATACCATTTTCTATTTTAGACTTGGGGTGAGGTCCACAGAATGCCAGGTACTTCCCTGGCATGATCCAGTTGAAATCACCATTTTCTACTTTCTGAAAGAAATGGTCAACACTAAAATTGAAAGAGGGGCCACTACTCCAGCAAGTCATCCCAGCACTGATGGCTGCTCAATCAATATGGAGGAAAATAGGTTGTAATTATAAAACTGTCAAAGGAATTTTGTCGGCAAATTAGGGAGATGTTTTGTCATAAATCTACCACCCACTTTCTTGGCATATACCATGTATACTGAAATCAATCATTAACATTTCCAAATAATCTTCATACCAGTAACAATACATCCGGATCGACCCCTTTTGAAAGCCAAATGTATGTTGTAGACAGCAAAATTATCTGAGAAGAATTTTGATAGTTTGGACCCCTTCCAATTAAAAATACTATTCTTGGCATATCATTCTTATTTAATTCTTAAGGTGTACTACGTGGAACTGGGCAGAGACCTTGTTAACTGATTGTCTGTTGCTTAACGCCACTCAGCAATATTCCAGCTACATAACAGCGCACTGTACATAGTTAAGTCTGACCAGACAATCCAGTGACTGACAGTGAGCATCAATGAACACAATTCCGATACGTTGATACAGGACTGCACATGCCGAAGCATTTAAATGAATGGAATAAACCAATCTGCATTTCCCATATGCTTGACGTGGCCTTTTGTTGTATCAATGGTGGGAAGCAGGCAAATCTTCCATTAACAATAATAACATTTCCATTTTCCGCTAAAATAAACGACGACAGAAGTGACATCATCCATTACTCACCTCATAGTGCTCATACTCATCGACATCAAAAGTGTCAAAGTTGAAAAAACCATTAGCTAGAGCCTGAAAAAACAGTAGGAAGCATTAGATAACAAGCAGCATTGAACTTCAGTTCAGTCCGACTTCAATAAATCAACAGTGTGAAATCATTTCAACAAAATAATAATCATGGCAATATTTTTTTGAAATTTGAAATAAAATTACAATTTGTAACTTAAGCCACTTGTCCATGTTGTCCTAAGAGAGAATTTAGTAAAAACATCTTTTTTACAAGTCTTAACAGCTAATAATAAGAATCACTATTTCTGTATTCAACGTAATAAGCCCCCCGCTCTAATAAGCGCCCACGGTGACATTTGCTGATATATTGGCTGGTGAACAATCCCAATTAGCACCCCTTCCGACTGACCAATGTACCCAGGACTAATTTATTCGCGTATAATACGCACTAGTGTGCTATATGCACCCTTAATTATGGGCAAGAAAATTCTGGAAAAATATATCTGTCGAACATAAACATTTCAGGCTATCAGCTTGACCATGAAATTTATCTTTCAACTCTGTTTTTTTCACTAAAATAATTTTCTAATAAGAGCCCCCTATTTCTAATTTTGAGAGCGCCCTGGGCGCTTATTACGTCGAATACGGTAATTGATTACAAGAATCTAAGACAAAATTCAGGTCGACATATTTCTTTGCAAAGATCAAATCATTATATGCATTACAAACCTTACATCGCAATACTGAAAGTTACCACATAACTGCTGCATGAATTATTAATATCAGTGACCTCATTTATCCAATCAATTATTTACCTGTAAGTCAAATCTAAAAGTGCAACGAGCGATACTCTGAATGAGCACAAAAAGTATGATGGCAAAGGACACACCAAAAAAATTGAAGCTTGCTTCTACATGTTTTAGGATTGCATATATATTTAAAAAACATGTGGTGATATACTAATAACTATTCTTAGTGATCTCAATTATTCGGAACAATTGTTAAACCACAGCAAGTAATTGAGAATATGTTTACCTTGCTCAGTCCATGAAGACAGTCAAGGAGGGTGAGGTTGTAGGTACAGGCCCCGAAAGACGCATCCCTACAACACAAAACAACAATAATCATCATGATCATCATCATTACAAATCTAGCCAACTGCAGGGTTAGACCTTAACCTAGCAGGGCCTAGTACAAGGGGCTGGTACAAACTTCCAAGTCACCCCCCGGTTTTAACATCACATGGGCACTTTACCTCTACCAGGGCTAGGAACGCTGTAGAATTTAGTTCTAACCCTGTAACTGACTGGCCTGTAAGTGTCTTGTAAACATTCATAAAGTCACCTGGCTAATCTGTGTGGATACCATGATGACAAAGTCTAAGGCAGTGTCACTTGTACATCCATTGCAATTGTCCATATGGCACCTGTGTAAGTGGCCCATATAGAAAGGCTGCTTGCAGCACACCATACATTTATCTGTCACACACATCAATTTCATCAAATATAAATCTTTGTTAACTACCATACTTATTAACTTGTAATGATGAATGTGTTACATGTGTCGTATGTTCAAATATTAAATTCAGTAGGACACAAGTTACTCATAATAGAGAGGGGGGGGGAGAGGTCCTAGAGTCAACATTTTATGATGAAGCATTTGAAACCTAAGTATACCCAAAATGTATCATTTTTAACATAACAATTGTAATTGTGAACACTTAGTCAACAACAAGTCCTGTGTTTCAAATAACAAATGTTGCAAGAGGTGGCACAAAGGCTTATGAATTTACTTATTTCACATTATTTGGTCAAACTTCTGAGTAAAGTTTATTGTTCCAGGCCTTAACACCAAGTTCAGGCTCAGCCACTATTTGGAAATAGGAAAAGATTGACAACAAGATGTAAAATTATTCAATGTTGGAAATATAACTTCAACCTATGCATCGAAACAGGCTGGTTCTCTTCCAGGGAGGATCTCTTCATGAGTTGCCAACAAGCGGAAACATTTTATGGTTCGTAAGTGCATAGAGTGACATTTACATTACATCCACCAGTTTTTTGTGTCTTTCCATATATTTTGATAAAATAATAGCGATGTAAAACAAATTGTTGATAATAATTGAAAATAATTTGAAGCCCCAACTAGTCACAGAGCAAGAGAAGTAAAATGCCAAGTATCTTTGATCAGCCGGTCACCCAACAGGTGCTTGGAAAGACATGGATCAATCGGTCAAAGGCTTGTAAGCAGATTCAGATTACCAACTGCATAAGACATATTGTGGTAGCGTCACACTTGACTCAGCTGTCAACAGGTGATTGTGATCAGCATTATATATATACTGACTGCACTCGCTACGACTGCAGATCACAACAGTGAGAGGATTATCATTACAATGGTAACATATAACATTACAAACTAGCGTGCCACCAGCCTAACTGTGTGTCCACCTGATCTTACCTAGATATATGTAATTCCAGTTCAATAACTGAAATGTTGCATGCAGTATAACCTTTCCTTAACCTGCTGTTTACATATTTCAGATGATCTGATGTATTCTTTTTCTGACAATACTAAGGAGAATGTCAGTGTAGTTATTTGGACACTCTCATTGTTTGAGGGATATTGATGCAGTAATGATGCAATAAGATGCAATCCAAACTGAACTGATTGAACAATGAACCTCACGTAAGTGTTATATATTACTGAATGGGATGCCAGGTCTAGTACCCCCTTACTTTTGTCCTCATCTATACCTGTTCAGGGTTCACTCTAGGAATTTTCTGACTGCGGACATTTATGGGAAAATTTCAAATATTCTAGAGGTACGCCCATACAGCACAATGTTAAAATGCCCCATTGTATTTGAAAATTGGGGCCTTTTTTTCAAATTTAGGGGCTAAAAGCACAAGGCCCCACTCTAGAATTATCCCTGCATGTTAATCTATTTGTAAATATTTACCTTACTGAATAACATCAGGGTAATGATGAGAAACCCTCTGTGTTCATTAATTTCAAACACTTTGGACCCCTGGATTCCCATTAATGTCCAACACTGCTATTAGATACTACTACGTATCACACACCACACTGGGGGCATGCAACCAGCCTGGTAATGCCTGTGAAGCCTGTCCTCCACTGCTGAGAGTACCAACTACTGAACTGTGTGGCACTGGTTCTATTCCACAAGAAGGAGCAATTGTACATCAACATTGATCTATGATTGTCATGGTGCTGCAATCACTTTGTGGGACAGGTCCCAACATGCCCAAGGGTGGTAACTTACACATCCCAGGCAGTGTGCTAATATCTAGGTGTAAAATAACTGACCAGAAACAGACCATGTTGACAGCAGCCTACAATACCATACACACATGTTGTTTAAACCAGACGGCGTCAGAAATTGGCACTAGGCCTGTAGTCCTTGCCAAACTGCCCAATACTAAAGGTATCATAAGGACTAGTAGAAATTTGCCATTTTTAGGGGTTTTGCTATATGTTATTAAAAGGATTAGTGGACTGAAAATGTTAGTTTCTAAGGCTGCCAGAGCTACAGATAAGCAGCGTATTTGCGTAAAATACGCCCCCAAAATATTCAAAACCCAATTACTTTTAATTAACTTGCATACAGAATTGAATGTATAAAATGAAAAACTCAATTGTATAAATACAGTTCACATAAATAGCTAATGAAGTTATCAGCATGGGTACAAAGGTGCTAATTTCCGAAACACAATTCTGAATTAATTTACTTTCCAAGACAAGTCTATATATTTAGAACAGTTTTATCCATCTAAAACATTAATTCAATTTTTTTAAATTCTTAAATGTTCACTAATTTTGGGAAAAACCTAATAGATTGATGAATAGATGAGTGAAAGAATATTGGTTACCCAATGAAAAATGTAATATCCCAATTAAAAGAGAAACCCTAGAGTAAAAAAACTAAATTGCTCAAAAAGTTATGTGGAGCTCTGTTACTCACTGTCTTGTAATTGTGAAGGGTAACATTAAGTGAAAGTGTTTGAAGCAAAGTGGGTCCTGGGGTCTTTCAAGAATGCTGCTGCTTCAGTACTTCATTATAGAGTCTCCTGAATTTCAATATTTTAACATTTGAGTACTTCTCTTAAGTTAAAAAAACTATTGATTTTCTTGGTTGATACAGAGCATACTCATGGCGAATTTAGGACTACTTCAACTGACCCTCACAAAGTTATTATGGCCATATGACACATTATCCCCACCTAGTAGCAAGGAGAATGGAGAACAAAACCTGTGGCTGATTACATGATCATCATTTCCATGATTTAGCCACCTGTTGCCACTAACAGCACCCATCTGATACGCAGGATATACACATACTTGGCAGTGGTATAATTAACAGCCTCTATCAGCTGATGAGTGAGTCAACATTGTGTGAGGCCAGGAAATGCTGAATGGAGATGTGTTCCATATTAATTTCATGTTGCATGATTATCATCAGGATTATTATAAGCTTATTACCAGCTGGGAATACTAAGGCACTGGCCAAAGCTAATTTCCCACATGGTACATGATAAAAATATGCTTTGGACAATGTAAAATGTATTTTTCTAATGGTAGTGAGTGTGGCGAATGCTGTGAAAATGAAAGCAATTGTGCCAGTTAAAAAAATAAGGAAGTTGAAATTTTACTCCACATAAACAATATATTTCCCCACCAGGACATGTCTGTCTTTGTTGTGCTTATATAGTGTAATGAACATGATGAAGAAACTCTTTAAATGTTATCAGTTTACTGATTGACTTAACCAAAATCAAATTAACAACACAAAACCAGTGGTGCATCATGGTCTTATGGTGAGGCGAGTCAGGGACAACATGAGGTGCAGCGAGGCTTGAAATTCCTGACATACATGACACCAGTGGCGCAAATACTATAAATAGCACTAAAAACTATTCAAGAAAAGTGCATTTGAACTCTTCTCTATGTTCCGAATCAGTGAATTTGACGCCCGAACAGTGTTCAAACTTAAGGGGGTCTTGTGAGGTTTGCTCCTATTGAATATTAATCAAGAGACCCATAAATCTTAAACTTTTAATATTAGAATAATGACAAGGACGATTTGACATCCTTGCTGAAGTTGGAGATCATAGGATAATATAATGCTTATGCAGTCTAACACATGAAATGAATGCAGAGTAGCGACTACGCCCGTCTCTTATCAACCAAGCAGAAAGGTATTCAGACATCAGTGAATACAACAAGGATGTAAGATATTTCTAATCAGGTCACAGATGCTGAGCTTATGTGTCGACACTAAACAGGACCCATCACCAACTGTAGGTACAGGAGGAATGTGCCACTCCCACCTTGACCCACTTACAACCATAACACCTGGCTCCCTGCCAGCAGGTTACTATTGTAGAATACTACATGGCTAACTGCTGTGAAGCAGATGTTGAAGGCAGCTGTTAGTGATGTGGGGTTATATCATGGTGTTACACTTAGCAGCAGCCAGTGGTGTTTACAAGCTCAAGGTACAGCGCAGATAGCTGGCGTAGTGGTGTATCTATCACTACTGACATGTCCTTGACTGAAAGCCCTTGGCCAAATTGTGCTTTCCTATGCAGTGTGGGAAAACAGTATCAAATTTCCGTGCCTGGAGTAAACATTGTCATATATAACAACTTCCACGAAAAATAATACAAATATATCATTGTGAAAACAGCAAATCTACAAAAATAGAATGAATATTATACACGGCATGATGAAATGGAGAAACGTGATTATTACTTATCTCAATTCCTCTACAATTTCTGATGTTGTGTAGCCTAGGTGCATTTATTTCAAACATGATGTATTTTACAAGTCAATTCCTTAGTTTCATGACCCTCCCGGTACAGCGATAGAAATTGGCACTAGTCCTGTAGTCCTTACCAAACTGCCCAATAGTAAAGGTATCCTAAGGACTAAGAAATTGGCCCATTTTAAGGGTTTTGCTATATGTTATCATTATAAGGACAAGTGGACAAAAACTGTTAGTTTCTAACCCTGCGGTAATGCCCAATTATAAAAATACATTAAAACATAAACATGAAAAACATGATGAAAATTACACAAATATCACTATTTCTATTTTTCTATGATCAAATCATATTAATTTTCCCCCAGGCCCTCGCTAGATGGTTGTGGCTCTCTCTTCTCACTACTTTTATAGTGACAATCTCAAACAAAATCCCTTTCTAATACTAAAACTTGTTGCAAAAGTGTGAAACAGAAAAATGAATTAAATTAATTAATTTTTTTTTGAGAAGAGACTTGTGCTGGGACAATACACCAACTGTGAGATCCGATACGTATCACAATCCTAAATGTATCACTATACGTGCATGTGCTCGTATCTGTGGTGCGTAAGCGATCTTTTTTCAGAGACAGGATGGCCAAATACATTCAGCAGTGTATAGCACAATGGATGAAAATATTTACGTTTTTCACTACTAATTAGTGTTTGGTTTGAAACTTACTAAAGCAAACATTTAAAGTAAAAATCTATATTTTTTACTTAGTTTGCGTGCAACTGTGACCTTATACTTTTATCAAGAAGTTAAAAAACGCGATCCACCAATGCTCCAGTGTGCATCAGTGCATCGTCCAAATACCAAAAATGACACTGAAAGATTTGATGCTGTTTTCAATCTTGTTTTCAATAGCTCACCTGAACGGTAGGAATGGTGGGTTGGACCCCGCAACAAGTGGCCGGTAAGCCTCCTCGGGTGTCTTCTTCAGGTATATTATCTGCAATATGATTGTGTATAACATAATGTTGGAAAAGGGAAAAATATTAAAGATTAATCACCAATCATTAAAAATGACATGGAATATTATGGATAACAACTTCTTTATCATACACACACAGTCCATTAATAACATAGAAGTTGTTGCCCACAATACTTAATAGTTCCTTGTATTACTTATATCCAACTTCTAAATATCAAATAAGACTCTCATCCTTAATCAATAACGAAGAGGGAAAGAAAACAACAAGAGCATTCTTTCTCAGCATGCCAAGTGTCCTTATGTTCATGCAAATAACAAATATAAGGGCAAAACTTCAAAATGATGTCTACATGTACCTCCTGCTGAAACACAAACAGCCATGGTCTATGATGGAAAATGTGAAATGTGCAACAGTTGATGATAAAAACAACACACATAAACCTTTTGTGATAAACATTTTGTAGTCAATCCCAATTCATCATCAAGACAATGTAATTTTACAAACCGCTGGAATATAGTTCTGGGTGCCGTTGTACAAAGCAATCTTAGCGCTAAGGTGATCGTAACTCTCATACCTTAACATAGACTTGCGACAGTCGTAGCGGTAAGGTTGTTTTGTACAACGGCACCCAGGTCATAAATGTTATTAGCATATACGACATAATAAGCGCCCCGCTCTAGTAAACGCCCACAGCGATATTTACCAATATATTGCCTCGTGAACAATCCCTATTAGCACCCCTTCTGATTGATCAATGTACACAAGACTTATTTATTCGCATATAATACACACTCGTGTGTTATAAGCACCCCTAATTATGGGCAATTAAATTCTTGAAAAAAAATTCTGTCGTATATAAACATTTGAGGCTGTCAGCATAAACCATGAAATTTAACTTTCAACTCTGTTTTTTTCATCAAAATAATATTCTAATAAGAGCCCCCTATTTCTAATTTTGAGAGCGCCCCTGGCGCTTATTACGTCAAATACAGTAATAATTCAAAAAGTCATATACAGAAAGTCAAGTATTCGACGTAATAAGCGCCCAGGGCGCTCTCAAAATTTGAAATAGGGGGCTCTTATTGGAATAAAATTTTGGAGAAAAAACCAACAGAGTTTAAAGATTGTAAATTTCGTGGTTTATGCTCACAGCCTGAAATGATACAAAATAAAAGTCTTTGTGTATTATACACGACAGATATATTTATCCAGAATTTAATTGCCCATAATTAAGGGTGCATATAACACACGAGTGCGTATTATACAAGAATAATAAGTCCTGTGTACATTGATTAATCGGAAGGGGTGCTAATTGGGATTGTTTACTAGCCAATAAATTAGCAAATATCGCCGTGGGCGCTTATTAGAGCGGGGCGCTTATTACGTCGAATACGGTATTCATAAAACCAAGGTTATGAATCTTAATGGGTATTTATGACATGGTTGTTTTCAGGGTGTATGGACCAGTTTGATTTCAGTCCTGTGTCTGCCAATGAATGTAAATCCTTGTAGGATACATGAAGCAAGCTAATTATGTCACCTGGGACAGTCTAATCGCAGACAACCAGCCACAGACAAGTATCAGGTTCCCTGATTTGCATCAACTTGAGTGTCATGATGCTACATTTAGTCAAGATATATCATGTACATATAGAACGTACCAGAAACAGTCAAAGAGAGCAGAGAAAACAAAGTCTGTTGCCATGGTTACTAAGCCCTGTGAAAATAGATGTTGCCTAATCTTTTTCATAACAGTGTAATTAGACTAACATATCATGCCTGAAACATAGATATCTATGAGGATAAACAAAAGTAATTGGACAAGTGAAGCTTCTAATTTTGAGAAAACTTCAATTTTCTTTCTAATTTCAGCCTAGAACTGAAAATGAGATGAGTACAGGCTGCTAGAGCTGTGAGGAGGACAATAAAGAAATGAGCTGATCATATATATTCTTAAATATATGCTCTGGGCTTTGGAAGAGAAAATACAGTTAATTCAGCAAGAGTTGAACCCACAACTGCCAGTTAAAAACATGTACACCCCCCCCCCCCCCCCCCCCCCCCCCACTAATCTAGTTACCGGTATGTTAAATAAACAACTTGTCTGAATTGATCTGTTGATAAGTTGGAGTTCACTTCCTGATACTTGACTGTGTTCACCCTATCATATCTTAGTGGAATATTGATTGTAAGGCTAATGAAGCCAATAATCCTTTACTTCCTCTATCAGCGATACGAAGTAACATTTTCAGTACACTAGTGCTTATAATGATAACATAGAAAATCATTGGAAAATAGCAAATTTCAACTTGTCCTTATGTTACATTTACTACTGGGCACAGGGCTCGAGATTAGCTGCCTATTTGCGTAAAATATGCAAGAAAAAAACTGAAATATGCAGACAAAACAAATCCTAGCATACAAATACCAGAATACAAACAAAAACAATAAATACACTATTGAAATAAATTACATTTATAACAACTACTAGATAAACCGATGGCATATATTACAACTGTTAGATAAAGTCATTGTGTATCAGACAATCGCGAAATTCACGTAACGACATTTACATTCAGAAAAGCTGGATCTACTAACAAACTCAAATGCCAAAAGATTCAAAGGGAAAAAAACATTGCTGCCTGGTCCATGTATCTTAAACATGTTAAACAGTTGCTGAATGGTGATTACACAAAAAGGGCCTTTCTTTCAAATTCAATGCTAGGTTTTGCAAACAAAAACAGCTTCCCGGAAAGGGAGCCACACGCAGACAGGTATACTGATTACCACTATTTATTTAGTTTCAAATGATTTACAGGGATTGTTACAAAACATGTTTTCAAGTTATAATGCTCAAAAGTCAAGAAAAATTTGAATACCCCCAAAAATTGCAGACACCCTATCAAAATCATACCCCAGGGTAAAATACCCCCAAAACCAAAAGCTTTTGTGGAGCTCTGGGGCAGTGTGAACTTGTGGCAATTTTCTTTGCTGTCTATCATGCTTTATCTACATTATGTTTATATGTAACGGTTAACACCCATACTTTATAATTAATACAGGGGTACCCTGGAAAAATGTCTGCATGGGAGAAAATCCTGTGCGTGTCAGAATAATGGGACTTTTGAGAATGGTGATGCAATTTCTATAAATAGTAATGCAATTATATTTTGCTAAACTATGTCGGCAATGTTCCAGCGGTCCGTAAACAGTTATTGAGTCCGGACTACACAATCCAGTGGTTGGCTAGAGTATCGATACAGGCAACTGGGATACGAACCCATGCAATCAGCCAAGTCACCGAGTCTGAGCATCCAATCCATTTAGTAGTCTCATATGACAAACATGGGTTTTTGGATACCTATATCTTTCTTAGATTCTCCATGGATACTAACTTTTTTTTAAAATATAACATTAATCAAGTATGTCCCTCTGTCATCGTTTGTCTATGAACACTATCAAGACGCAACTTTTACAACTTTACATATTCTCGTTACTAATATGATCACGATCTCACACAAGACAATAGTGTTAGGAGTCTTGAAGAGGTGGGGTGAAATGGGATTTGATCCCATGTTCAAGATTATAGCACTGACATAGTGACATGAATGCACATGCATTGGGTAGTTCCGCAGAGTGTTGATGATATACTTTGGGGTTTTCAAAATTTACCATGTGCATATTTGTACGCCACCAACTCAAAATTATTTAGGTAATGGTGATTTATTTAGTATTTTACCCAAATCTGCAGATTACCAAGAGCTCAGTGGTGAGATGTAGATGCAAGATTGACCAAAGAAATCAGATATCACAAAATCATGTACCAAAGTTTTGTTTGCTTGTTGTCTTACGCCACACTCAGCAATATTCCAGCTGTATGATGGTGGTCTGTAAATAATTGAGTCTTGACCAGACAATGCAGTGATTGACATAATGAGCATCGATCTATGCAATTGGGATACGATGACATGCATCAACCAAGTCTGACCACCCAATCCTGTTAGTCACCTGTTGTGTGTTGTTGAAGCCAATTCTAACCCGAATCTTCATGAGTTTGCACCAAAGTAATCCCTGTTATTACAACTGGTTATTTTTTACTTACAGCATAAGATGCAATGAGAAATGCTGCATTGGCTCTCTTCCTGGCATCAAAGCTTGTGTAGTGTACAATCTTCTTCTTGGCGAGGGAGAATGACTGAAAAGAAAAGATACAACAACATAACAGATATAGAGTACAAACCTGCTTATAACCATGATTACTATCACCCCATAAAACCACTACTAATCAATCTATTGTAGAGAAGGTAAAACATGCTGGTTGGTGTTCAAATCTTAAGATCCTTTAAGGTTGGTTGGTTTTTAACGCCACACTCAGCAATATCCCAGCTATATGATGGCAGATCCTTTAAGGTCTCCAGCCCAAAGCTTGTCTTCCTTGGTATGATGTATTGAGGATAGTTATACCTTGATCTAACTAACATGCTATCATGACAGAGCAAATGAATTAGACTCAGGCTTCAGGGGGACTGGGGACTGAAATGATGCATTTAAGTTTTAACTTAAATATTCATATCTTTAAGGGAAAGGTCATTTATTACAGTAGGGTGGGCATCAAGGTTTTTGATGCACTCATGTACTGAAAATATAATGACCCTTCCCCTAATAATCTTGGGTGACTGCCCCCCGCCATGTACTTGTACATTTGTTCATAACCATATCTCTCCCCGAAAAGAAAAAATGCAAAAGCACTTTACATTTTAACATTAAATGTCCATTGTTTCATGACACTCCTCCAATATGTGTATTATTTTTTATGACCCTCCCAGACGTCTGATTTCTTGGCAAGATATGATTGTCTCTCATTTCTAGTTAAGTATATTCATACCGTCTTTCAAAATAGTTATTATTTACAGACATTTAAAATCCTGGCTGTTGAACATGTTCAACATGATTAATGTCAAAATAATCCTTATGTGATTCTCTTGTTTTCTTGTCTCAGTTGAATAATGAATACATTCTCTGTTTCATATTTCTCCAGTTTCACAAGTGAGGATAGTTTTGTGTAGAAACCTAAAAAAGCCAGACATTATGTTTATTTAAAAAACAGCCAACAAGTTTGACAGCAACATTTCAGTTGCAATCAATTTCAAAAGTGGTTTAATCAGCACATTCCCTCTTGAAAAGGTAATGTTATTCTTTCCAGACATAACCAAGACCACATTTTTTTATTTTGTGTTCATAATGCCACATGCACTTATCTGACAACCTGAGCTTCATATAATTCAAAGACAGACTGAGATAGTAGCGTATTCACTCTACAGCCCAATGTTCTGTTACGGTTCTTGGGCAACAAGGTCAACACAGGCAGTAAGCCATAAGAGTGCTGTGTCAATATACTTCTATAAAGTCCTGGGTCAACAGGGCACTGAGGTCCGGTTTGGACTGTAACTGCTGCAAGCAGATTGGCCAGGTATAGAAAGTTGTATCAGCTAGTCAACATACCGTATTCGACGTAATAAGCGCCCAGGGCGCTCTCAAAATTAGAAATAGGGGGCTCTTATTAGAATATTATTTTGGTGGAAAAAAACAGAGTTGAAAGATAAATTTCGTGGTTTATGCTGATGGTCTGAACTGTTTATATACGACAGATATATTTTTCCAGATTAATTAAGGGGGCATATAACACACGAGTGCGTATTATACACGAATAAATAAGTCTTGTGTACATTGATCAATCGGAAGGGATGCTAATTGGGATTGTTCACTTGCCAATATATTAGCAAATATCGCCATGGGCGCTTATTAGAGCGGGGCGCTTATTACGTCGAATATGGTATTACATATATCACAGTTATGCAGGGTTAGACATGGCCACTTAGTCCGATAGTCCACGACCACTGAAAATCTACTTGTTCCCTTCACAAATCTGGAACTTTTTTTAACATAAGCCACTTGACCAAAATTATCTGTGGACAAGTTGGATATGACTAAAGTGGCTAACCTTGGTATGACAAAACACTTGAAGCTGAAGATTTAGAGGGACCCTAGATTCAAGTTCTATAGGTGAAGACCTCAAGGACTTTAGGACCCCCCTCAATTTTTGAACACTGAATAGGCAAACAGGTAAACATGGTAACAGACTTTTCTTGTTTCTGATCATAACTAACAGACATATGGGTTTTCCGATTTCAAATTTTCAGTGCTAAGTTCTGCTGTGAACCATGACTTGACCTATATGTGGTCAGTCCACTACCATGATACAACTACAAACGGCAACCCTTTGCAATCAAACAGTTTCTTTCAGAATATCTAATGTATTCTATACTTGACGGGTTTTTTTAACTATTAATAAATACGAATAAATTATATATATATGTGTGTAAGCTATACAAACAGTATATCAAGCACAATGTTCATTTTCAGGAACTCTTTTTAAGTCATACAAGCATCAAACCAATCAATCATGTTAACTACCATTCATATTCAGATGGAGAAAATCTTATTTTTATTTCCGATATATCAGCAACATTGGGCTATAGGTAAATGTGGTTATTGCTCCTGACTGCATCATACATACATTTGGGGTAGTGCTTCCAACTTGCACTTTTACACCACTGCATTAAGAGCCAAACTAGTAAACCAGTGGTTTCAGAGACTGCCACATGCAATGGTAACATGCCTTAAAGGCTATTTTATCAGCATGATAAGTCATACAGATTAACCTTAAATGTCAGTATTCGTACACGAAAAAGAGAACCTTTGCATTGGATTCTTCATATCAAAAGTAAAGACAAATTTACAAGCCAATAAATAAAAAGCTTTCTTTGAAGTAAAATGTCCTTTTATTTCCTATGTTAAAGTGATCTCAAACTTAGGTATTAAACCTGGCCTCTAGTCTTGGACAACCTTTTGTGAAAATATAAAATATGTATACCTTACATGCAAGCCCTACAGCTCTGGTCTAATCTGACATGAGCTGTGGGCTAGTTGTCTATGGCCTAGTGGTCTACTCCTGTGAGCCGTAGTTGTTTGTTTCTTGTTTAACGCGGCACTCAGCAATATTCCAGCTATGTGACGCCGGTCTGTAAATAATCAAGTCTGGACCAGACAATCCAGTGATTGACATCATGAGCATCAATCCTCGCATTTGCGATACGATGACATTCATCAACCAAGTCAGCGAGCCTGACCACCCAATCCCGTTAGTCACCTCTTACGACAAGCATAGTTGCCTTTTACATACAGCAAGCATGGGTTGCAAGACCTATTCTACCCCGGACTTCCAGCTGTAATGATCTCACTGCATGAATGTTTTCATATAACATTATTTTGTGTCATGAATGTTTTAGGACATCTTTAGATTCTACCTGGGGAAAACAGTGAAATGGCATTTTAATATAGCAAATTTTCAAATCAGATCAGCTTCTAGACCATGGACCAACCGTATTCCAACCCTGTATTATGCCCTGAAGATTTTTTTTTAATTTTGGTAACAGTACACATGGTGTAGGAGAATGTCCTATAAAACATTGAAAAAAATCTTGAAAATGTCGTAATATCATTTTTCAAACTGCACAGTGCTCAAAATGAAGCCTGAAAGTAAAAGGGTGATCTTGGTGATTGTCAGGCCTAAGGTTAAAAGTTGAAAAAAGGGATCCATAGTTTCAAATAAAATAACAAACGTGTGATTTGCAAGACAAAAGACATCAAGACATTTTTATGATTTATCATTTTGGGGAGGAACATTCTTCAATATCATTCAAAAGAAATTTTAAATCTCAGAGATTTGGGTTGACAGCCAGTCTGTGTCCTAGAAAATGGACAAATCTGAAACTCTGCTGAAACAGACAGAAACACCAAGAAGCTCACAACCCAACTTAATTTCAAACACTGGGATATGTATACCCGGGGCTGTGACTCATGTTGGTGACATGGGTCAACACCAGAATCTTGCCAACTGTGGAACTGGGCAACCTGCCAGGCTATCTTACACCATGTACATGCAATTAACTTTTTATACATGGGCCATATCAAAATAGTAGAGCTTGTAACAGCAATGGCAAAGACTCACTTATATCTTGCTAATAAAGTACATGTTCTTATACAAATGTGATACTGTAAACTCATTTGGGGGGTTAATCTGTGAAAGAATAAGAGAAACAATGCCATTATTTCAAGCAAGTGGGTGTTTTCAAAATTAATCAGATTTACTGGGGTGATTAGACTTGTAGTCAAGCAGCAGTAGGCTGTCGTTCCAGCCCATATGGTCATATGTTTATAGTATAAGGTGTTATGGTGTTGCAATAGTAACTTGATAAAAATTGTAGATGTCACCAAGTATCATATTCAGTTATCCAACGGTTGTTAAACAACAAAAGCGAGAGTGAATCTTGGGACTCCATAAATCTTAATTTAATTACAATATATGGGTTATCATTGTTATGAATGAGTGAGTGAGCTGTGTTTAACGCCGCTTTGAACAGTATTCCTGTTATATCACAGCGTGTCAACCTAATGTGGGACGAAAACCCGAAGTAATGCAGCTCTCAGACGGTTACAACTCCTATGGTGCTGCCATACCCAGAAACATAATCGGGGCAAACCGGGAATAGAACCCACGATCATAGACTCAGGCACGACCAGGGGACGCAGCTCTGCACAGCAAATTGCGGACCCTTAGACGACTGGGCCACCTGCGCCACCCGTGCCCCCTCATTGCTATGAAGGGTCCCTTACTTTCATTCTTCAAACATATAGTGCGATTTATTCTCAGTAAAATATTGAACATGGAGGTCCCAAACTTGATGTCCAAGACATTTACTGACGTCATAACACTGCACATGCTCAGAAGCTTGTCAAGGTGGGGATTTCAATGTCATTTGAAGAAAACCATTGCCAATTTGACAACTTGAACTACCAGAATACAGATGTCAATTGAATTAGGAAACTCTATGCAATCTACAACTGATCAGGCGGATAAATTTAATGATTCAAACAGCCATACGTGTTTGAAAACCACAATGTAAACTATTTGCATCTATTCATTGTCTATCCGTATGCGCAAAAGAAGCAATTTTGCTTCAGGTAAAAACAAATGTTATACAACATATTAGGAAAGTATAATATCTGCTATCACTGGCTATGTATGCCTCACTGGAAACAGGCTTTTTTAACAAGGCCCACACTATCAGATGCTTAATCAGTTAATAAGTTTTTTGCCTCAAATGTATTTGATTATCATTAGGGGTCATCACGACATTCAGATTGAAAGAGTTAAAAGAGCACCTAGATAAACCTGTTAGTGTTTCAGGTGGGTTCTTTTGCTATGGCATTGACTGATTGCTATCCACAATGTCCCAGTACAACACATAGTTTTCAAATTGGTAATGATATCAGTGAATGCGTGAAAAGCATGAAAATGTCTAATACCTTTTGTTTCAAGAACATCACTGACAGTAAATAAATACTAAATGCACAATATCTCAGTGACAATATCTCAATAGTATTGGTATCAACCAACAACTCATACTGAGTCATAAACAGTGATAAAAGAAAGAGGTAGGTCCCATAAAACTGATGTTTGATCATAGCCTCCTTTTGTCACCATATTAAAGCAAACAGACCATATAAACCTGTTCACAGTCATTCTGAATCACATCAGTCTGGGAGGAGGTAAACATGCAAAGGACCTAAACATTCTTCGTCTCCTGCAGCAATGTCAGTGTGGATTCACTGGATTGTCAGTGTATTTACCCAGTAACAAACCAGCCAACTGTCCGTTCGGTCGGAATCTGACTCCAGGGCTCATGGGGATGTTTTGAACCATTCAGTATTTTCTAATAAGTTATCATACATATTGCAGTCTGTGACTTTAGTCACTTGTCCAAAGTCAGCGTCAAGTAAACTTCTGTTAGGTCTAGTAATTTCAGCTGATAAAGTACCATATATGATACCATGAAAATGTACTGAAAATAATGATATTACCAGGTATTTTATCTAGACCTGCTCAGAGGCCAATATTCAGCACAGGTAAATGAATAACAGTGACAATATCTCAATAGTATTGGTATCAACCAACAACTCATTTTGAGTCATAAACTTCTGTTAGGTCTAGTAATTTCAGCTGATTAAGTACCATATATGATACCATGAAAATGTACTGAAAATAATGATATTACCAGGGATTTTATCTAGACCTGCTCAGAGGCCAATATTCAGCCACAAGTCTGCAGCAAAAACGTCAAAACAAATTCCCAATTGGGAACTAAAGATTTCCCAATTCATGTTACAGTGACTTTGTATTAATATATATAACAAATAACTATTTTTATGGCTTTGAAGAAGTAATCTGTATTCATCAATAACAGGACCAACAAATAGGAACAGGTTTTTAGGCTTCTTTTTATAAGTTTGCATTGAAAAATCAAAATATTGATTTTTCGCAATTTGCCTGCCAGGGGCACTTGGTTAAAAATCCAAGATAAGTCCCCGTCTACAGTTTGTTTGTTTCTTGTTTCATACCACACTCTGCAATATTCCAGCTATATGACGGCGGTCTGTAAATAATCGAGTCTGGACAAGACAATCCAGTGATTGACATCATGCGCGTCGATCCATGCAATTGGGATACGATGACATGCATCAACCAAGTCAGTGAGCCTGACACCCGATCCCGTTAGTCGCTGAAGGCCTATTCTACCCCACATCTTCACGGGTCCCCTGACTACAGAGGGGCTGGCTTGTAGACTTTTGGGCACAGACTGGTTTGTGTTTTAATTAGTTTCTTTGAGCATTCAATATATTTTAGATATTTTTTGGCAAAGATGGCAACAGTAATCTCACCTTTAACTTCTTGTTCACTTTACAACAGTATCTGTAGAGAAGGGCTAAATTCAAGGGTCCAAAGTCTGCATAGAAACTGGAAGGAAGAACACGCATATCATCACAAACAGACCAGCAGTAGTTGTACAACTCATTATCAAAAGGGTTAGGAACAGAGGTTCATATTTTTTGCATCTGGATTTAAACCATTATGATGAAGCCACACTACTGTTCTTGCACAAGGAATTCACTGGCCATTCTGAATGTACATATTAAACAAGCAGTACTGAAGTAACGTCAGATCATTATGCAAAACCCATAACAAAATTATGTTCTACCATAACCTGATTTAAAGGTCAGAGAACCACTCGAATCTGCTGATTCCGGGAGTAAAGCAAACTCTCCCTTTCTGGGCTCAGTGATACTCCTGCCCTTTTTTAAATCTTTGATTATATTCTTACGTGGAAGATGATTTTTTCCGAGGACTAGTGTTTTAAAAAATGTGATTTTCCACGTTTCCGAAGAGATTTCACATCCCTGAATATTGTGGGGCATGTAGTAAATATGAATGCTGTTCAAAAATAAAAAACACATGAACTATCGTCAGATCATACGTTTTCGGATGTCATGTGTTTTGGACGGACATGTTTACTGCAATTTCTCGCGCTATAACAAGCCATGTGACATCATCAAGGTACCACCTGGAAGCACTTTTGCGGTCAGCTGAACAAAATGCTTCGTTAACTCTAGTTCGGACCCATTCGGAGTTTTGGCGCCCATACCACAGTAACGAAGAAGAATAAAATTGATCTAAACTGACTGTATCACAATGTTAATTTGTTAAAAACTTAATTTCCATGTTGAGAAGGTTCTTTAAACTTTTCTTAAAGCTAACTCTGTATTTCTTTGGTATTATGACTAAACTTTGACACTGTAAATTGACTGGAATACCCCGTCTTCCGCCAACCAATCACTAATAGGTGAGTGAGATGTTTTAGAGTTGTTTACGTTATGAATGACATAACAAGGTCAGCATCCGAAAACACTTCCACACGGGGATATGCAAGACTACATAAGAATGCTGTAAAATATATTTCTTCTCACAGTATGAAATTAAGGCAAATTCTGTGCATTCGCCAGTGTGGATTACTGAAGTAAATAATCAAAGCTAAATCAACACTTTTAAAAAAACTTGCATAGCTTCTGCACACCTGGCTACCCAGTAGGTTTTGGGTAAATACTGCCATAAACCTCATACACACACAACACCCCCACCCCCCAACTGCAAAAGCATGCAATGTCCGACCCCTTCCCCCATGTTGAAGTTTATTGAAAGAAAGCTTAACTTACTATCTTAAAACCTTAAAACCTGGAATAAGCTTTTAATGGAAAGTAATTGTGTAACACGAGTTAGACATCACAAGTATGTAATACGCCCTAGGGCCCACGATATCCAGTTTTCTAAGCATTAATTATTACAATAATGTGTCAATGCCGCAGAGACCTAGATCTAACCCTGTCATTGTCACACGCATAACTATCATTACCAGCCAATTATTACTAGTAGCAAAGACTCCAGTCATCAGGTCATCACATCTTAACACAATGACTATTGGACACAACAGATAGACATGACCATTGGTGATTGTAGATTTCCCCCAAAATCTAGCTCTTTCACATGAACTACTAGTCCAAAATAAGGTGCCAACTGGTCGGATTTGACCAATGGGGGTCTATCCCTGGCTGAACTTACAAGACAGAAGGAATATTTTCTTGGCATGGGCAGAGGACTAGTGACAGATTATTAAATTTTGGGAAGAGACTACTTCTTGTCCCAACAGAGATGAAGATGCCATTCTTCCATGTGATTCTGCATTTCCAGCACCCCTTGTTTAGTCATGTTAGTAGGTACTAGGTATACAAATAAATCTACTCGGACGTTTCACTACCAGGCACAGAATGTTCAACTTGATAATATGATATGTACTCACTTTTCATACACAAGTTCTTCATCTATGCAGAAGTAATGAGTATGGGCTGTAGACTTTGGCTTCACTCGCAAGGTTGCAAAATAGAGGCGATCTGAAAATAAACAACATTGCTCTGTTTTAATTACCATGCTTACATGCTCAGGGAAAAGCTAGCCATTTTAACACTTTCAAGAAGAATCCAATGGAAAACCTGAGAGTATACATGCTTTGTGTCTGTAAATCTTACTGTAGCATGCTCTATATCATGTAAACACTGTGTAAATGTCTATCAAGTATCATATCTGTATGTATAAGAAGTTTCATTAAGAACTACTACTAGTAGGGCTATAATATGACACATATATCCAAACTCACAGTCGAAACGTCTCATTCCTGTGACTAAACACACTCATGTTAAATACTGTGGTCAAACCATAGCAGCACTAGGGGTGTCATGATACATAAACCCCATGCATCGAAAAATATCAGGATACTCAGTGACAGTACAATATCGACCACAACACATAATTTGTGGTCATTTGCATGTAACTCAATTAACAAGTTGAAGAGCTTGTTGCTATAAACAAAAAGCCTCATCTGTGAGTGAGTGAGTGAATGACTTCATCAGAACTTTGAACAATATTCCAGTAATATGACAGCATGTCAGGTTAATGCGAAACTCAGTGGGAGGAAAGCCTGAAGTGTTGCAGGTCTTAAATGTTAACCACTTTGGTTAAATTGACAAGCACGGCCTTGTCTGTGTGTTTGTTAGCCTAGCAGATAGAATATTTATTACATGGTCCTGTGGGCGCAGTTATTGTAAAACACTTTAAATATTACTTTTAGAATTCAAACATGAATCAATACATGGAAATAAGTATCGTCTAGATCAAGTAACATTTACAATTTTCATGAGTGAGTCTTGTTTTACACCGGTTTTAGCAATATTCCACCAATGTCACGGCAGGGCACACCAGAAATGGGCTTCACACATTGTTCCCATGTGGAGAATCAAACCCGGGTCTTCGGCATGACGAGCAAACACTTTAACCACTAGGCTTCCCCACCACGCCAACATTTTTCATGAACTTATTCAGTGATTTGTCTACAGACAAACGTCATTATGATATTTTTATGATTTTACCAAATTTGGATAAGACATTCCTCTCTATGCCATCACCAAAATTGACAAAATATCTCCATGACATTTTGGATGACAGTCAGTCAATGCTCAAGGAAATGAACCGATCTGAAACCCTGCTTATTAGCAGTATCAATAACCACAATTAACGCAACTGAGAAAGTACTCTTGGGGGGCGTTCGTGTATACATAGCTTATAGGGTTATTGACCACTTTCTCCATTTCACAACCCCACATGATCACATGCCAATGTGTAGAACCGTTTCTTACAATCGGTAAGGACGATTTCGATTTACACTTTATTAGTAGTTGGGACTTTTGTACTTTAAAGAATATGGCTAAATCTAATGAGGATATATTCTTAATAAGAAAATAGAATGAAAATGATAGTGAGCGACAGTGAAATGCTTGACACGATTGGACACGTTTGATTTGCCTCGAATAACATACAAACGAGGTCTGTATACTACTAAATAATAAAGGAGACAATAAAATCTTACCTTTGATAAACTCCGATGCGCTTCCTATGATATCATGTTCATCTGCCATAATGTGAAAATAGCCTAACCTCGAGTGTCAAATTCTATCACGCGAAGTAAGACCTGTGGATTTGTTTACAACCGAGTCCTGCTCTGTAATCACATGCATGGGAAGAATCCTGTCCAATCTGGGATCTGTAGATCCCCAAATATCACCGATATGCTTTCTATAGTAATTAACCAAATGCATGTAGTGGTGGCAGATCCAGAAGTCCAGGGATAAACTCAAATATTGAACAGTTATTTCAAAATGTCAAATTCACTATCGTCTGTTTAGCTGACGGCCATGTTTGAACAGAACGAATAGACGGGAACTGGCACGTGATCTACATTCGACCAATCACGTGCAGTACAACAACAGTAGTCATGACGATTTCACCTCTGACCAATCAAAGGTTTGTTTGGCACATCTTGGCTAGAAACACTTCCGAAAAGCGGGGTTACTGCCCCATTTAGCATTCTGATACAGACACCAATGGATCGATGGCAAGTAACGGCACATCGTTGAATTCGTATTTCATCAATTCCGTATCGACTCCGGTTCTCATATGGTTAACTATGACACGTTGAGCATGTTAAGACGAGAAACAAATTAAGCGTACCGAGCGTGTCGTCGATCCGCGGAACATGAATGAAAACCTGACTTGAGCTTGGAGTAATTAATAAATTATGAAATGGTGTACGTCGTGAACTTATTTAAGTCGTGAGAAAGGAATACTGTCATTCTGCTCGAAAACAGGCGTGTGGTGTACATGACGGTGGTGTGTTTTTGTTGTTGTTTTTGTTTTGTTGTTTGTTTGTTTTTTCGGTTTTTTTCGTTTTTCGGGTTTTTTTGGGGGGTGGGGGGGTGGGGGTGGGGGTGGGGGGGGGGGGGGGGGTATTACATTCCTTTGAAATAAACAACAAAAACAACAACATAACTTATTTATGTTTTTCAAAATACAATTGCTAACAATTAACTAGGGTGGTTTATATGGCCATTGCAAAATTATCACCGGAGTGATCATGTAGACAGGATTTCTTCAGGGTTTGTGATTTTTACAGTTGACCAATGTTTGTTTGCTGTTAAGCGCCACCCTCCGCAGTATTCCAGCTATATGACGGTAGTCTGTTAATAATCGATCTGGACCAGACAATCCACAGTGATTGATACCATGAGCATCGATCCGCGCAAGACAGTACTATAACCAGGAGCCTGACCAGCCGATCCCGTTAGTCGCCTCTTGCGACAAGCATGGGTTGCTGTACACCAATTCTCTAATACACGGATCATCACGGGTCACTATTGTCCAGTGAGCATGCTGAGTATTGGTGCTTGGGGATATGAAAACAGTTTATTATTTATTATAGAGTAAATTGGTAGTGAATGCTTAATGCAATGTAGATATAGGTTATCGTTATAGTTTCATCATCTCCAAGATCTTCTGTTACTTTTCATTGTGTTATCATTTGTCAAATTGTAAATAAAACTGTCATATATTTTGTTTGTTTGTTGTTTAACGCCGCAATCAGCAATTTTCCAGCTATATGACGGCGGTTTGGAAATAATCGAGTCTGGACCAGATAATCAAGTGACTGACATCATGAGCATCGATCCACGCAATTGGGATACGATGACATGCATCGATCAAGTCAGCGAGCCTGACCACCCAATCCTATTAGTCGCCTCTTACGACAAGCACAGTCGTCTGTTACGGCAAGCATGGGTTGTTGAAGACCAGTATTCGACCCCGGATCTTCACGGGTCTATCGATGTAAATTATATATTGTGTGTTTTTCGGTATCAGTTTATTCAGGGGAAATGTCCGTGTGGGTTATTGTCCGAGTGGGAAATGTTCATGTGGGGAAATGTCATACACTCAAGTATACCCGGGCGAGAGTGCTAAAATAGGTACTAAATACTAATAACCGTCAAACATATAATAACTGTTGACATTATTCAGTTGGATAAAAAATAAAAAATATATATTCCGTGTTTAAAACAGCGACTATTAGATCTAATCCCAATGATAAGATTTAAGACAAGCCCACTGCAGTTCATCTGTATCTTTACACGAGATTTTGTAAAAAAGTTGTAGAACATAAATATGGTTTAAAATTGTAGTTTAATTGTTTTATTTTCCTGTAAGTACTTGGAATTAACAGAAACAAAAACAAAGTAACTACAATGTGAAATTTACAATTTTCTTTGTATGCGAAGTATGTTCGTTTGTTCACGGAGTTCTTAACATTACATTCATGCTGACGCTGTCATGGTATGAACCCCCGACCTTCAGGCTCTCCGGGGGGTGGTCGGGTAGCCTATAGTGGTTAAAGCGTTCGCTCGTCACGCCGAAGACCCGGGTTCGATTCCCGACATGGGTACAATGTGTGAAGCGCATTTCTGGTGTCCCCCGCCGTGATATTGCTGGAATATTGCTAAAAGCGGCGTAAATAGAGGTTATCACGCGAGTGTGTTTGGAGATGGTAAATATCCTGCATTAGGAATAAACATTGTATTTAGCGAGCCTTGGCGAGCTAAATACATAGTGTTTATTCCTAATACAGGATATTTACCATCCCCAAACACACAAGCGTGATAACCTCTTTATCATATTATGTCATTCTTAAAATCTGTACTTCAAAAGCGCTTTCACTCTCTCACAAACATTACGGAAACATTGCGAGTTTTCCTGGAATGCGCGCATTAATATTTATTACGTCACAGGGTAAGTGATGTGTCAGTCGGACAGTGACAGTAGCCAATATAGTTCCAACTGAAATCTATTTCTTATACAGGGGCGAAGCAACATAAACGCAAAACAACAATTGTTTTTAATTGCCTTTCGCGGCAATCCATCGGTCTGTCCGCTAGAGTAACTGCCCTTTGTCAAAGGGAAGCTACTCTAACCCTAGTCCATGAGACGTCACGGCCACGGTCAGACGATGTTGACAGTCAGCCTGTCCTGTCATAACGTTAAGAAGTGTAGTCAGATGTACACACAGCGACAAAACGAAACAAGGTAACAATTCAAACATATTTCGGCCAAATCCAACTATTTTAATTTGAGGAGAAGGTTTCAAGCCGCAGAGGTCTACAAGCATAGATATGGCTACTGATCCCGCTTGTCTAGGCCTAGTGCCCTCGCAAATGTTTCGAAAGTTGTATCTCCAAAGTTGCCAAAACTTATAAAATCCCTTAGCTACGTCACAGTGAGACACTGATTTTCAGTATATTAGACTGTTCTTTTGATAATGATAGCAATTAGCCCTGTAGTTTATCCAGATTCCCGATGGTTAATTCTGACTCGATCGCCAAAGGCCGAGGGCGACGCCATGTTTGTTTATAAACACTGAAAGTAGTCCCTACTTGACCTTTGATATTTGCATCTCTATCCGCATATGACCCCAACGGATATCGTTTTTATCCGTTGGCTTTATCATGCCGAGAAACCTACCCATTATATGATAAAACCATATACACTCACTAACTCAGGCTCTCCGTTCTTATTGTCTTCAATAGACGTGTGTCCAATTGGAAGTCATGTTCCAATCGGACAGCGTCGTTATGCTTGAGAACTACTAATAGGGCTACCAGTGAGTGAGTCTTGTTTTACACCGCTTTTAGCAATATAACGGCGGAGGACACCAGAAATGTGCTTCACACAGTGTACCCGTTGGGGAATCGAACCCGGGCCTTTAGCATGACGAGCGAACGCTTTAACCACTAGGCTACCCCATCGTCCCCTAATGGACACTGAACTGTGTTATTTTATTTAGCACGTGCTAAATATTAAAAATATAAACCTGCATGCTCATAATTATTTATCACATTCCTTCGCCTACAAGTGTTAGATATCAGCCAGTTCGCCACAATATTTAAACATATACAATTGTGAAATTTCAAGGTTGGTTAAGTGTCATTTCAGCGCGCAGTAAAGTCCACTCAATTACACCATTCATTATTCATTTCTTGCTGGATATATAACATAACATGTGATACATTCACCACGCCAGGCCTGAATTAATAAACTAATCGTACAGATTGCCTCAGCGAAAAGCCAAATGGGAACTACAGATTGCTGTATATCTATTAATTTTTAACTTATCTTCTATATAGTAGTTTTTAGGCAATGTTGTATCTCATATGCCTCATGGCCGGGTATTGTATAACTTTTATGTATTTTATATCGGTTTTGATAGATATACGTGACATAGTAATTAAATACTTTCCTTATTCACCTCCTACGGACCTTATCATCCGATTAAACACACACACACACACATCAGAGGTAATTGACACGAATGACTGTGTTATTGTGCATGTCTTTGTCAGGTAATCGGAGGGACTGAGTGGTGTTATCACTAATTATACTTGTAATACAGTCATAAACTGCGCATCAGACGCACAAAGACAAATACACAGGTGTCGGTTATACCCTGGAGCGTGGATAACAACGGACGTTGTGATTGTTGTATTAAATGCAGCTGATTTATTTTTGTTTTGAGGCGAAGTGAAATACGGTTAAATTTAACGTGGCGTTCAAGATCATAGCATATGTAGCGGCGAGCATGCACATGTGTCTGTGTGGGCGTGTGCATATATGACGGTTTAATAGTGCAGCTTACTGAGATGTGATGCCGCGACTCATCTTCCCGAGGCAAAGGCGTTATGGACGCAGCCTTCTGCATTACCCAGATTGTCAGAAGGGCCGTATTCCTGGTAGCAAACCCGGGCACTCTCCCAATCAGTCAACAGATTGGAAGGTACCAAACCTAAGGAACAGAGAACAATGGGGAGTTGGGCAACTTGGTACTTGGGATGCAAGCGTGACATTTCGAAAGGCATATTTGCCATGTTTTTCTTCAATCTTGTCAATCACAATAGTGTCAAAAGGGACAGAAAATTCAATGATATAACATATTTCATTGGATTTATCAAAAAGGACAATTATTATCATCATCATCATCATCATTATTATTATTATTATTATTATAATATCAGCAGAAAATAGCCAAATAAACCTGTGTGTAGACTTTGCCTAGTTGACCTAATTAGACATCCTGAACATTTGTTTGTGTTTTGACTGTTGAACATCTGGTACATAGCAGAGTATCGGCAAGGTCATTTGTTGGACAGTAAGAGACTTTATCAGATGAAAGTCCTGACAGGGGCAGTGTGCCTGCCAGTTGGTTTCCCTGGGAAACTAATTCCACCGTTCACGGTCTTAACATCGATACCCAATCCAGACACATTTAGGGACTCCGAGCCGTAATGCAGAGCGTCAGGCAGGGTAACAACAAGTACCATCGTATAGCTTCTCTTGGCATATGCCGCAGTA